ATCACGATGCCTTACAACCAGCCATGTCACCCATTGTAACACGAAGCCTTACAACCAGCCAAGTCACACATTGTAACACGATGCCTTACAACCAACCAGGTCACCCATTGTAACACGATACCTTACAACCACCCAGGTCACCCATTGTAACACGATGCCTTACAACCAGCCAGGTCACACATCGTAACACGATGCCTTACAACCAGCCAGGTCACCCATTGTAACACGATGCCTGACAACCAGCCAGGTCACACATCGTAACACGAAGTCTTACAACCAGCCAAGTCAATCATTGTAACGCGATGCCTTACAACCAGCCAAGTCAATCATTGTAACACGAAGCATTACAATCAGCCAAGTCACCCATTGTAACACGATGCCTTACAACCAGCCAAGTCACCCATTGTAACACGAAGCCTTACAACAAGCCAAGTCAATCATTGTAACACGAAGCATTACAATCAGCCAAGTCACCCATTGTAACACGATGCCTTACAACCAGCCAAGTCACCCATTGTAACACGATGCCTTACAACCAGCCAGGTCAATCATTGTAACACGAAGTCTTACAACAAGTCAGGTCACACATTGTAACCACAAAGCCTTACAACCAGCCAGGTCACACATTGTAACCACGATGCCTTACAACCAGACAGGTCACACATTGTAACCACGATGGCTTACAACCAACCACGTCATTCATTGTAAAAAGAAGCCTTACAACCAGCCAGGTCACACATTGTAACAACGAAGCCTTACAGCCAGCCAGGTCACACATTGTAACCACGATGCCTTACAACCAGCCAGGTCAATCATTGTAACACGAAGCATTACAACCAGCCAAGTCACCTATTGTAACACGAAGTCTTACAACCAGCCAGGTCACACATTGTAACACGAAGCATTACAATCAGCCAAGTCACCCATTGTAACACGAAGTCTTACAACCAGCCAAGTCACACATTGTAACCAAGATGCCTTACAACCAGCCAAGTCACACATTGTAACCACGATGCCTTACAACCAGCCAAGTCACCCATTGTAACACGATGCCTTACAACCAGCCAAGTCACACATTGTATCACGATGCCTTACAACCAGCCATGTCACCCATTGTAACACGAAGCCTTACAACCAGCCAAGTCACACATTGTAACACGATGCCTTACAACCAGCCAGGTCACACATTGTAACCACGATGCCTTGCAACCAGCCAGGTCACATCACTGACGCCATCAAAGTAGTAAACTTATATATCGTAGGTTACAAATATAATTGATATGGGATATATTTACACCTCTTAAGAAGATTTTAAGGTTATGTGCCGAAAAAGCTAAATTCTAAAATGTAAAATTGAGTTAAGCTTTCGCGGCCACAGTTCAAGTTCAGTGATTAAACGAGCGACGCTTCCCCGGTACTCAGAGTTAACTGATGATCAACGGAATTCGCAGTGGCTAATTATATATTGACTTCATACCCGTAAAAACAATAAATAACAATTATTTGGTCTATGATAGCATAACAATGCTTGGACTGTTGGTTACATTTCGTCAACTTATTGCCGTAGGACGCCATTTTCAAACACGATTTACAAGTTAAAATCTATATATGTAAAAGGGCAGCAACGTGGTCGGTGAATTGGATTTCTGTGAAGTTGGCACTGACCCGTTCGACCTTCAAGGATTCGGGTCGTCCTTGCTGACACAAGTACCTTAGAGACAGTAGATCAGAGGCTTGAAGTTGTTCATTCTGTCATGACTGTAGCAGTGTAGTTGCGTCGCATACTCGTCTCTTCCATGGGCAGGGGATGTCAGGTCGCTATCGATTCCAACGGTAGAACGCTGGTTCTGTATTTCTTCTCGCCCCGACTTCTGCATCCAGAGAGCATGTGATGCCCGCCTCCCACTGTCTCGATGAGTATTTCTCGTAGGTTTGTTTACAGACAGAACTAGATTAACAATCAACTGTGTTGTTGTTTCAGTAAAATGGAAAGGTTCTTTGCATTAAATATTAAGTATTAACATTTTAATAGTTGTGAGTAAGAGGCCTAATCACAAACTCATTGTCGCAGATGAACACGATGTGTGAATATATTTCCTGTCAGTTAAACTATAGTTTTCTTGTTATTTCTATTTCCAAGTTTATCGGCGTATTTATGATCAGTTGCGTTGATTAAGCGTTTTCATTTCATGCCAAAAGTTATTTGACGCTTTGCGGGCACTAGTAAAATTTGAAATGTTGCCTTCCCAGGCCGATACCTATGTTTGACGAAGCATCAATTCAGACATGAAAGTGGCAATGTTACACGTAGTTATGGATTGCTGTGCCCATAACTTTTGATGCCCAGATGGTTTTACCATTATCACAGTCTCACATTCATACATTTCTTTACCAAACGCTATCCTGTCAAATTGTTTAATTTACATTAGTACTTCACACGTTCACATGCAAATATGTACATAGGATATCTTCAGCATTTTACTCTGATGTCATCGGTATGATGCATTGTATATATGCATTTTCTGCGAGTATAAATGTATGTTTTATATGTACTCTTAAAAAAAGAAACGCAAAGCCAGATTTGTGCGAGGTAGGAAAATACATTTATACGAGGAACCGTACAAGGTATTGAGCCAAAATGTTGTGGAGAGAACACTTGGTGATTGTAGTCATCTCAGTTATCGGTACATAGGAAAAGTTCAAGGTGAAGGTCAGCTACAATCAATAACGCGTATGTCCCCCGTTGGAATCGATAGCGACCTGACATCCCCTGCCCATGGAAGAGACGAGCATGCGACGCAAAAGCCAACTGCTGCAACGTCTGGGGTTGTGTTTGACATCGGCGTAGCCGTCTATCCAATTCATCCCACAGGTGCTCTATCTGGTTCAAATCCGGGCATCTGGAGGGCCAGGGGAGAACATCAACGTTATTGTTATTTAGAAAGGCTCTTTTGATCCGTGCCATATGCGGTCGAGCGTTGTCCTGCTGGAATACACCGTTGCCGTTGGCTGCAATTGGGAGGAGGGGTGGTAGGAGAATTTCGTTGATGTATCGTTGAGCCGGATGATTGCCCTGGATATGGACCAAACCTGTCCTGCCATGATGAGAGATATCAGCCCCCACCATAACGCTGCCGCCGCCAAACCTGTCCACTTTCTGTACACAGTTTCCGGCGTAACGTTCTCCCCGACGTCTGTAGACCCGTGCTCTTCCATTCCCTCGACGAAGGAGAAATCTTGATTCGTCGCTGAACCAGACATCTCTCAATCGCAGTTGAGGCCATACCCTGTGTTGACGACACCAATGCAGTCGTTGTTGACGATGTTGTCGACTCAATATGACGCGTCGAACAGGACGTCTTGCTCGTAGGCCTGCTCCTCTTCAACGGTTTCGTACGGCCTGGTCGGAGATTCTGCGCAGTTCGGGTATTTGGGATGCGGTTGAGGTGGCTGTGGACGTCCTTTCACGTAGGTGGCGCAGTCGGATGTCGCCCAAGCGGGTTTGGTTACTCTTGGTCGTCCCGACCTTGGCCAATCACGTGTTGACCCATGCTGTTGAAACCGATCCCATAGCCTTGTGATTGTGCTGAGCGCTACATTGAAAACCTTGGCTACAGCTGATCGGGATTCCCCTGCCTGCAAACGGCCTATGACGTTGTTTCTTTGCACTTCTGTTAATCTTGGCATGTTGTTGAACTGTCACTGTTCGATTGACGCAGATGCCAGGCAATACAAAACCCTGCCACTAATACCGTCCATAGTGCTGCTGCACGTGCACATTTTGATCCGGGAAATTTGTCACTGACACTATAACACATTCACTTTGCACCTCTTGGTCCGCTAATTTTTCTTTTATGGCCAAACATATCCGTATTGCGTTTCTTTTTGTATATATTTTGTGTATACATTTCCTCTCAGCCTCCATTCCCCCAGTTTTTGCATGAATTATTCCTGTTGATGTTTGTTATATAACAGAATGAAATATCAATAGCATGCGGCCAAAATATGAAAACATATAGACATATCAACAATGCATATAATGCAGAATCGCCTGTCTAATATTTATCACGGGGCGGTCGGGTAGCCTAGTGGTTAAAGCGTTCGTTCCTCACGCCGAAGACCCGGGTACAATGTGTGAAGCCCATTTCAGGTGTCTTTTGCCGTGATATTGCTGGACTATTGCTTAAAACGGCGTAAAACCATACTCACTCACTCCCTTAATATTTATCAATGGCTATATTTGTGTGACTTTGATCGCCGTTGTACCCAGCAAAGCTGTATATATAACGACTTGCACCAGGCCTAAGTCAGTACAGGCAGATATATTCACCGTAACTGATTAGTAAGGCGTGCCACAGTAACGTGTCAACATGACCCGGTATGTTTTATACCACATCACAAATGTCTGACCTTCTTTCAACCTGCTTTTGATGTGACGTTCCCCGAGAATCGTACGACACGGGGTTTTACCAGGGTGTCTATATAGACTTTGTATAGTCTTCCAGGTTTACCAAGAGCTACACTTACACACAGAATAACGACCAGTCACTAGAGAAAAGGGGCCATTTAGATACAAAATAATGGGTGCAGTGTTCGAGGCCTTCAATATCTCTCTCAAAAACAATAGGTGCATATGCATTTGATTTTCCGTTGCAGAACACTATCTGTATACATAAAATGACAAATATATGACGAAAACAAGATATTTATATACATATTATGTATTTCTTAAACATAGTTTTTTACAGCCGAAATCTTTCGTACAAATGTTTGGTATTCATATTCGGAAATAAACGATTAACATAATTTTTTTTATTTTAGCTGAGTAAAACAAAATAGATAACACACTTTGTTGCACTGATACAAAGAAGATGACTTGTGTCAAAGGGAGCCGTGGTGCAATAGGTCGTGATCACGCGATGCACTGTTGGGCCACTCGTTGCCCGTGACAACACATATCTCATGTGACTTAAAAGAAACAACTATTACAATCTTGAACGAAGGCCCAACAAGGCCTCGTCCGTCATCAGTTCACTGTCTTAATTGATCATGGGTCTGCTGTTTTGATATCAAGATATTGGGTATGCGGGTTGGAGTGGGAGTGGGGGATACACAATCAACCTGTTGAAATATCATACCTATATTGGGAGCAATGGAATGTGTGACGTAAGGCATGATATATCCGTTATAGAACACACCCATATAGCATTGTATAATGTACACGGACGTTATCTAGCCTTGACGTGTTACCTATGTCAAATGGTGTGTGTTCTGTGGCTATAGTACATCGGGATATCAGAGACTCTCGCTGATATTGATTCATAGATTCATGGCAATGTGTGTATCACAGAAGACTTTATCGGCATCCTCGTGGAGGATTCAGTGATTATGTGACGAACTTGAATCTACGTGACAAATAATGGCGAAGGCGATTAAAGCTGCATGTGAGTAAAGTAAGCAGGTCGATTTAAGATATATTAATTACAGGAATATATTTTTATTTTCTTGATTGTTGTTGTTGTTGGTGTTGTTGTAAGGAAAACACATGTACTTGTTTTTTTTATGAAATAATAATACAACCTATCTGGCATCAGACATGACTATTACAGTGGCATGCCATGTACCACTAGTACTTACCCGGGTAGGAAGGCACCGGTCATACTTGAATGATTCTCCGCTCCCTGGGGAGAATACACGTACATTACTCGGAATACATTGATTTATATTGGTATCTGAATGGGTCACATCAGGTTATATATAGAGTTATGTGCATATCGCCTTGTATTTATTAGTTATATATACCGTGAATATCTCTATATTTTCAGTGATCCTCCTTGGTCTATTTTGTGGTACGTATTGAAACTTTATTTTACTGAGTGTTTTAAACTTATTGATATGTGACATGATATCGTGTAAAGATGTAAAGATTATCTTAGTATACTCAAAAACAAAAGTAAGTGTGATCATATGATTTTATTGACAACTGAAAAAATGATAAAGTGTTGGATCTATAATGTTTGCTGCTATGTCGGATTTATAGTGTTTGCTATGTAAGATCTATAAACCGCTAAACCTTCAGACTGAGTACACCATACCACCATTGAAGACAGCAGCAACGTGATGACCTGCTTTCATAGGGATTGGAGTAACAGGGTAACACCTGACATTTCCTTCCCCTTTGGGAGGACTGTACAGATCCAGTAGTGTACGGACACAGCCAGTTATTTCGACATTACTTTGCATAAAGATTACAAAAAGTGCAAGAAATAATTTGAATTTTTTAATTTATCTAATCTCACTTTGAGCCTTCGGGGTCCATTTCTGAAAAAAATGGACAATGGAACATTTGCCTTTGGTTACATGAAAGCTAAGATCTATCAATACTAAACACAGTACAGTTACATATCCTGTTTTATCTCTGTAGTGGATTCAGTACACTCGCAAATATGTGGTGACAACTGCCTCGGCTGCCATCACGGTGGGTGTACTGAGTGTATCTACGGGTGGTACGGCACTGACTGTACAGAGGAGTGTCAAGGATGCTGGTACGACAAATGTGAACAGGAAGATGGAAGATGTGTACAGTGCCCACCTGGATATCACTCAAATGATTGTGATGTACGATGTTCACTAAACTGTCATGCTAGTTACGATGGGAACAGGTACTGTGACCGTGACACAGGGAGGTGCCTAGAGGGGTGTGTCCTTGGGCGGTGGGGACATCAGTGTGACAAAGTCTGCGCTAGAAACTGTGGGCAGTCCTCGTGTCACCAGGATGTAGGAACATGTCTTCTTGGTTGCATCGATGGATGGTTCGGCCAGTTGTGTGATACTCCATGTCCAGAAAACTGTTTGGAGAATAGGTGCAACCAATTACGTGGATATTGTGGCCACTGCAACCCTGCGTTTAGTGGGAGAACGTGTAACATTCCGTGTACAAACTGCATTGACAATGTATGTACATACAATGAATTTCTATCATCTGTTAACTGTACCAAAGGATGCATCAAAGGATGGAGAAACGAGGACTGCCTGACGCGATGCAGCAACACATGTGCAGACGAGAGATGCAACAAGGATGGCAGCTGCAAGACATGTAGGAATGGTTACAGTGGTGCCAAGTGTACTGAGAGATGCGAAGATGAATGTTTACTATGTGAACAGAAATCCGGATTATGCACAAAATGGAGGGAGACAATAGACATTGATGAAACCAACGATGGACAAAATAGCATATCACAAGGTATTATCATATCGTCATACATTAGGCAGAATTTGACTTTCGAAAGTGAATGTTTTTTGTGATTGAAAATAGATGTGTCTTCACTGTGAAACAGTTTTGGCAGTATTGTTGACATCTGTCTATTTCATCTGTTCTGTATTAAGGGTCGATGCCAGGGTCTGACTCAATAATGTGTTTATAACTTATATCATAGAAATATCCCGAATTGACTCTGATCAAGTGACAATGTAGAATGTTTAACATGCACATTATCACAGCTTTCTTACCATATTACTCAGCGATTTGATTCCGAAACAATTTATTACACATAGAAAATGTTCCTTACAGTGGTAGTAGTATGAAAATCTTCGGACCTAATTTCTTCAAACTATAGTTTGGAGGATATATTTACAAGCGAAATATCCCGGTGAAATTACAACTGTGTCTAAAACTTGATTTTTTAGGGAAAGCGTAGTTTCCTTCTGTCCGACACTACTAAACATTATATCTTCATCATTGCAGGTTGTGTGACGAGATCCCAAAGTCTCTGGGCGTTGCTGTTGGTGACTATATGCTGCGTGTTCCATTAGCATACGTGTTAACATGGGAGAAACGGTGAAAGATGATGAAATGGTGCTCTGAATACTTCAACTATTTAGTCGCCCTTCTCTTACTACACGACCATAGCGGGTTCATGGGTGGTTGAGAACAATACGTATATGATGCCATCCAGTGCCCTTTGCGTCAAAGATGAATAAGATCAGTTCTAAACAATAGACTGACTTCGGTGAATTTTCTCTGTAGGCTTGACAAACGTTTCTCTCCATATTTCTGTTTACTCCTTTATGCGGACGACATCGAACTACTACTACTAGGACGAGGACCTACAGTTTATGCTGGCCAAGGGAATGAAATTCATTTTAGTGAGAAGAAATGGCAAGTGATACATTAAAAACACCCAGTGTAGTTTTATCAGACTGCGTTTTTTTCTTGTGGTTGATGTCTGTCTAAACACCGTCAAGCAATATACTTATCTTTGCCTAGTCCTAACTGAGCACCTTGACTACAGCCTAATGGCTAAACAAATGGCAGCTTCGGCAGGACTGGCGTTGGTAATGGTGTTTGATCAACATGTAAATATCTTGCCAATTTTGCTTTTGCAACATTTACCAAATTATACAACTATAATCTACATTCTGTTGAACAGAGGACCGTTTATGGCACCCTCGCAGTCTGTATTCTGTGTCTGAGTAGGGTATTCATGCTGAACTGCGACAGTTGGCTAAAACTACCAAGTCGGCATTAGTCCGGACTAGTACAAGCAGCCGAACACACACAATTTAAGCATACAGTCTATTAAATCGTTTATTACACAATACACAATCTTGTAATTTGTTTTTATAATGTTGAATAAAGCTAGCTTGGCTTTTTTACACATTGGTCAGATTAAGTACAGATAGTACACAGCCGATCTACGAATCAAATCCGGTCTGCAGCCAAAAATTCCCCCTTCTCATTATTGCTGAAGTTCAAGTCTCTTATAAACATGTATTAAACATGTATTAAATTAATTTGGACTAAGGCCTGTAAAACTCTATGTGAGCAAGCAAGCAAAGCACTTTGGTCAGTTAAATCGTTAATAAGACGTTATGACATTTCGGTTACGGAAGCATTCTTTATATTTGATAAAAAAATTGTCCCGATATTAATGTATGGTGCTGAGATTTGGGGATACCAAAAATGGAATACGATTGAAATTGTTCACCGCAAATTTTGTAAATTTTTACTTCACACGGGCTACAGGACTGCAAATGCAGTAGCCTATGGTGAATGTGGTAGGTATCCACTCCATACTATTTATTATGTAAAATGCATTAAATATTGGTTTAAGATTTTGCAAATGAGTCCTAACAGATACCCATACCAGTGTTATAAAATGTTATTATCCATTGCTGATAGAAAACGTCCTAACTGGGCATCGCATATCAGACTTCTGCTAAGTCATTTTGGTTTTGGGGATGTATGGGCTGCACAAGGCGTTGGCAATGCAGAATTATTTGTACATATGTTCAGCGAAAGAGTTAAAGATTGTTCTTTTCAAGATTGGCATGCATCTCTAGGCAGCAAGACCCTCTCATTCTATAAACTGCATAAATCTAATATCGTTTGTGAAAAATATTTATCAAATATTAAGCATTGTGAATATAGAAGGCTAATAACCAAATTTAGATGTGGACAGAATACTCTTGGTATTCAACTTATACGTAGGGGTGTTGCTAATATTGAGGAGGATGCCGTCTTATGTAAGCACTGTCATGTAATTGAGGATGAACTTCATGTTATATACAACTGTCCTCTTTATGCAAGTCGGCGGGAAATGTATATCCCAAAGACAGTTAATCACAACTATTTTTGTTTAGAAAGACTCTGTCAAATATCCAACAACGATGCAATGATAAATTTTGCAAAATTTCTAATGTACGTGTTCTCAACACACACACACACACACACACACACACACACACACACACACACAAAAGTATCAATTAGGTAACTCTTAGATAAATAAAATGTAAATGTATTTTGTACAATGGGTCAAATGGCCTTATACAAATAAATCTGTCTGTCTGTCTGTCTGTCTGTATTATGACTTTATGTACAAACACACTTAACGTTCCGTGTAATATTGAACATGCATATGAAGTATCGAGTGCGGTAGAGTATACCAAGACCGCATTCCACTAAGATGAAGAAATATTTCGTCAAACTTCCTTGTTATATTATCAAAGATCTGAGTAAGTTTGGATTTCAAGCTGTTATTAATGATATTTCAGTCTACGTTGTATCGTTTGTTTGTTGGTTGTTTAACGCCGCACTCAGTAATATTCCAGCTATGTGACGGCGGTATGTAAATAATCGAGTCTGGACTAGACAATCCAGTGAATGACATTATGAGCATCGATCCACGCAATTGGGATACGAAGACATGCATCAACCAAGTCAGCGAGCCTGACCACGTTAGTCGCCTCTTACGACAAGCAAAGTCGCCTTTTACGGCAAGCATGGGTTGCTGAAGACCTATTCTACCCCGGATTTTCACTGGTCGTCTATGTTGTAACTGAGTGCCCTGAGTGAAACCCAATACAGCTCATAATTTAGTGTACATAAAAAACTCAGCCTCCATTTGGCAGAGACAATGCAGTCGTTGTTGACGATGTTGTCGACTCAATATGACGCGTCGAACAGGACGTCTTGCTCGTTGACCTGCTGCGCTTAAACGGTTTCGCACGGTCTGGTCGGAGATTCTGCGCAGTCCGGGTATTTGGGATGCGGTTGAGGTGGCTGTAGTCGTCCTTTCACGTAGGTGCCACCAGGTGGCGCAGTCGGATGTAGTGATCTTGCGCGGGGGTGGTTACTCTTGGTCGTCCCGACCTTGGCCGATCACATGTTGACCCATGCTGTTGAAACCGATCCCATAGCCTTGTGATTTTGCTGGGCGCTACATTGAAAACCCTGGCTACAGCTGATCGGGATTCCCCGGCCTATGACGTTGTTTCTTTGCACTACTGTTTATCTTGGCATGTTGTTGAACTGTCACTGTTCGATTGACGCAGATGCCAGGCATTCAAAAACACTGCACTTTAATACCGTTCATAGTCCTGCTGCACGTGCAGCTCCATGGCCCTTTTGTTTATGCACTGGGTGCGTCTTTTGCGAATCGTTGGTGTTTCCCGACTAATGGTTTGCATGTCCTTGTTGTGATCATTATGATCCGGGAAATTTGTCACTGACACTATAACACATTAAACCTCTTCATTTTGCACCTCTTGGTCCGCTAATTTTGCTTTTATGGCCAAAAATATCCGTTTTGCGTTTCTTTTTTTGAAGAGTATATTATGATGTCATCTACATATATTAATATGTTACACCAATACATTTCTTTAAGTGCCTGAAATGGTTTGCTGAAATGCCATAGGAGCATTTTGGAGGCCTTAAGTGAGGCGATTCGTTCAAAACCATCGTCGGATGTATTAACTGATGGCGGGCTTGCGTGTGGTACCTGGATGGAGTGGTATTTGCCAAAAGACACTAGCCCAATCAAGAACATTAAAAATGTTGACATAGCTGTCGCCTATATATGGCATCAACAACATCTTCAAAACGTGGTGGAGGGGGAAATATAGGCTTAGTAACTGCATTGAGGCGTCTTTAATCTACGGCAAAGTGGTAAGAGCTATCCCGTTGTTTAACCATGACAGTGGGAGAGTGCAATTCAGAAGAACTGGCCTGAATGATATTGGCTTCAAACACTCTTGCACCTGTCTGGAACATTCTTTCCTAATGTGTGCGTTTTGCTTATAAAAGGGAGTCTAATGGGTCTGGGGTCACCCGTTTCTATTTGATGATGTAGGTGAGTATGTCTTAATTCTGACCAATCTGAGGCAAAAAACAATGTCATTAAAATCAGATCTTAGTTCTCGCTACCGCTAAACAAAGATCTGAGGACATCTCATTAGGGGTCACTTCAGAACGACCTTTCATCCGACCAATCAGAGCGTCGCTTACCAGATCATGAAAGTGACAGTCGGAATGTAATTTCTAATCATCACATTGAAAACTTTAACACGGGGTATTCCGAACGACAGTTATGTGCTTAACGACTGAATCCATACAATCCGGACCATCTGTTAGCCATTCCAGAATGTTCTTTTGTTCAGGTTTCGATTTTTTTATCGAGAATTTATCGAAATATGTTTCGAAGCGTAGTCGCCAATTTGAAATTAGTGCCGTAAAGCACAAGAAAGCTGCCTCCCGATTGGCTAATGTTAGCCATTTCATTGGTCGGTCAAAGTCCGCGCAAGGTCGGTCTGACGTGACCCGTAATGGGATGTCCTCAGATCTTTGTTTAGCGGTAGCGAGAACTCAGATCTGATTTCAGGTGTTTTGTTTTAATGAAAACAACTTCAAAGGGTTTCTTTAAAACTTTTTGCAAAATCCCTAATGGTTTCAATATGTTTCCAAAGTGCACAGAAATCCTATCTCCTTTTTCTGTTTATTGTATGCAGCAAACATTCGGCGTATTCCCATATAATCATAAGCCACCTCCAGGAAGGACACTTAATCCCTAGCGCTATCTATAAATGTCAGTTAACGATTCCTTACGTCGCCCGATCTAATGTATGATCTTTTATTATATTATCTTTTATCAAATGCTATATTAAACTGCTTTTTTCATTGCTCTGTTTTAAGATTAACTCCATACGTGCAGTTTTTTATGTTTTAGTGAACAGTGAGAAAATTCTGACATTCTTTCCATAGGTTGAATTTGAAATGTGCCATAAACAAATCTCAGCCAACAAAAATGAATAAAAAAACCATGAGTCCCCACTGAATTTCAAATGGCCCGCCCCTAATACGTACGGGTGCAGGCTAAAACGGCACCTCAGCAAAACGTCACCGATTTCTCTGGCGAAAACGGCACCGCATTTGGCGAAAATGACTACTATGTGTCGGGCGAAAACGGCACCTCTATTTTTAATAATGATAAGAACGATTTTTGTAGTAATATATATTGTTTATTTACATGACATTTGATGATATACATACAAGCATATATTTCCGACTACATTTTTTGCAGAACCTCCCCAATTGCACACTACTACGAATTCACGATTTATTCAAGTTATTGTGTTAACGGAAATGTATTTTACAATAATAATAAATTTCTACAAATCCCGATAATATACTGTATATAATTTCATTGACTCATAGCAAGTCCAACAAGATCATGGCCGTTTTGAACGATGTTCTATTGACCGATTCGACAACGTGCTGTTGTGACCTGTTACCGAGGGAAGCACTAGATCTATTTGGCGCTCTATTTTGATGTTTCAAAACGAAAACAAAATGACACAACCTGTCAACCGAGAGATGCCTGCACAGTGACTACGATATATGTTGTTATATTTACAGAAGATGGACACGTTCGTTTCCAAACCCAATGCCGATCACTGGCAGAAAGTTTTATCCAATTATGGCGAGGTTTTCGCAGCCAAAACTGGCCGAATGAAGAAGGAGAAGGGCACAGAGTTGCAGGATCTAGATGAATGGTAGGTACAGATGAGGACACGCTAAGGATGACATGCAACAGCAGTAGCAGTCTAATTGTCTAACTGTTGGTTAATATCATCTTACCACTCTCTAACGTGGGAGGTAGTTTTAATTGATAATGTAAACATTGTTTGAAAACTTTCACAATGTTAAAACATCAGTTATCCTCCGTAAAAACATGCTACCAGTATTTGGTCATATTGCTGTTAACAGGGATATAAGGACATATACCAAGGCAGTGACAAAACATTTCCTTATCATTTTAAGTCATACAGACAAGGACAAAATTGGTAATATTCAAAGTCCAAATGGCAAGGTGTCAATAGTTGACAATAATTACATATTTTTACATATTTTATGGTTTGTTACATAATTTGACAAAATGTCAACAAGACCTTTTTTGTAAGGGAAATATTGTTTGTTTTGTTGTTTAACGCTGCACTCAGCAATATTCCAGCTCTATGTAACAAAGCTATTTTGCGTAACACATCAAACTAGCAAACCAATGACCAAGACCAGACTGACTTATGCATTTCTTTCCTGTTTTGTTTCAAGGCCATGTTTTTTTTGTACAGATACAAGATATTCAATAATAGGATAATAGAACTATAGTTGTCAAAGTGGAATGGTTTTCACACATCATTGTCTGTGTCAATAGTTCTACATATGGGTGACTGTACTGTTGTTTGATTGACAGATCCTATACAGAAATGAAGAAAATAATTACAATGTTTATTTTGGATCAAATCATTGTTAACAAAAGTAAAATTTTAAAATTTTTCCAAATGTATTTCCATATTCCATATTTTTACATCAATAGTTAAGTTTTGTATCTTTTGGAGCGTCGGTAAATGACCCTTTGGAATACTGTTGAACGACATATTGGTGGTGTGATAGACCATGGGAAACACAACTTGAATACCCTAAATTACCTCCCTTTGTGAATTGAAGTCAGATTCTCATTTTTCAAATTCTGACAAAAGTAGATCTTGATATGTATGTAATACACCTTTATAAACATGTTCTAAATGCAAACATATTTTTGTCTGTTTATTATTCATGAAATAAATTGGATATTTAATAAAATGAACAAAGTTGACAAATAAAATGTTTCTGTGGAAATGCGGATGTAGTGTAGGTGTTTTCCCCTGTAACTTTTGTCTTGAGTTTTAACATGAATAAAAACAAATAAGCAGTTTTATCAGATTTGAACATGTATCTTGAGTGCAGAAGGCATCACTATTGTTGTTTAGAATAATGTCCCTTACTTTTGTCCTTGACCTCGTACTCAATGTGACCCTGCACACAACAGCGTGGCCTTGTGAGGACCATTGTCACTGAAAATGGTGAGGTATTTTAGCTCACATTATTTTAATTGTAACTTTTAAAGTGTGGTACCAGTACACTTCATTGGGCATCATATTTCTTGCGTTTGAAAGACGTTACACATGGCACATGTACATATCCAGGGATGTATCTATACCTGCTCAGAGGCAGATATTCGTCCCCAAGTCTTTAGCAAATGTCAGTAAATGCTCCTAAATTGGAATTACAGATTTCCCAATTCATGTTAATGTAGATATAAACTTTTGTGATGGCTCAGTCAGTTATTTCACTGATCCCAGGATCAGTAAACACCAGGAACCTTCAATGTTCAGTTGTACTTTATTGCTGTGAATGCAAGTTCACAATACAATGTTAAAATGCCTCTGAAATTAACACAATAAGGACTACCAAACAAATCCAGTTTTGAACAAAATAACAATATTTTCTATGTGTCTATGGCACTTGCTTTGGTAGGGCAGATAAATCTCTGATATGTTAGGAAGAATGTATCACTGACAGGAATCTGTGAAATAATTGTCATCTGAAATCATGACATGAAAACTTAAAAAAGATATAATAAATGTGACGGGCATGCAAGCATTGATAAAGATGTCATAAATTTTGGCTAGCCTGCATTACCGTGTACAGTTTTTCAGAGGGATGACAAGTCTTTTTTGTGAAGCCCCTCCATGTGGTATTTTTAGTAGTCATGGTAATAAGGTCAACTGATGAGAACCTGGAGGCTACAGGGTGTGACATGGCTGATTGTGGGTCATAGTGGCCTGGGAATGTTGAACATTTCTCATTGCACCAGTATATCTGATAGGATGTTTGTCTATTTCCAGGTACCAAACTGTCCTCCCCACTTCTATAGATGACAGAGATGGAAAACATGTCACACATGATGAACTGGTGAAGCTCATGAAGTGGAAGTTGTTGGTGAGACCAGGGGTGGTATTCATATTCAGCTTGTCTGTTACCATCAGGGTTTCCCCTTGTCTATTTGAAGTGCATGGAAATAACATTTTGCTTTGCTTCGAGGTCAAAAATATATTTGTAGTGACTTAGCCTCAAATATAAGTAAAAAAAGAGAAAAAATTGTGACTGAACTTTGTGTGAATGACGTGTAGATCTAACTAAGTTACTTCTAAGATGATGTCGTTGCATTGAACATGATATTGAAAGAATTAAAACCTGGTAATTTTCATATATATTTTTTATTTGTTGAACGTTGGGATTGACAAAAATTAGTGGGGACTGGTACTTGTTAGAGTTGCCAGTCCATCAGGACCGGCAGTTTCAGCAGCCAGCGGGAACACTGCAAACTTTGTTGTCACGTTTCATCCCTGGACCCTGTCTGGGATACCACCCCGACTTTGGCTCCGGACCCATCCCATCCTCAGTTCCATCACTGTTTGTCTCAACCAGGCTCGGGTATTTTCATTCTTGACAGATCATGGACTTGTTCTTACTGTAAATGCCCTGTTCCCACCTAAATGGGGCTTATGCTGTACCTCCTGTCATCCCGGTGACTAAAGTGGGAGTCTACCAGGATGCCTGTCATCAGTCAAGTCTATTGGATGGAATACATTACATCTCACTTGAAATTCCAAAAGATTCGGCATTAGGTTGCTCACTCAATCTCATTAAAATCTGATCTTTGTTCTCGCTACTGCTGAACAAAAATCTGAGGTGATCCCATTACAGGTCACATTAGAATGACCCTTCGGGAACTTTGACTGACCAATGAAAATACTAACAGGAAGTTGATGTTTACCTATCAGAAAGCAGCTTTCTCAGGCTATATGGTGATAGTTTCAAACTGGCAACTTCATTTTCAGACTTTTTTCTAAATTCAAAATATTAAAACTGAACACAAAAGAATTGTGGAATGTCTGATAGATGGCCAAGAATGTATGGCTGTACTTCCCATGGGCTAGGCAAAGTCTCTTCTATACAAATGGACAAAGAAAAAAAATCATTGTACCAAATTCTTCACAAGAAATATAAAATGAAAGTAATTATTAAGTCTTACAGTACAGTATACTGCACCATTTCTTTACTTAACAGGACCTTATTATTTCCTGCTGAGACCCTTGAAATTAGTAATTTGTTATCCAGCATAACCTCCCTGTGTGACAAGGTCTGCAACCTTATACAGTCCCACAATCTGTTTGCTGACATTAGCCTCTGCTTAACAACAGTCCCAGTATCAATTGACGAACAGTTCCCCCCCTGGCCTGGGCAGACATGGTTAGATGTGGACGGCTATCCTAAACTCAGTCAGCTATATGTACCAATGACTTAAGAGGGGCAAAAGCAACCAAGTCAAATTCAGAACTTTTGGTTGCACTGATTGGTCCAGTCCTTGATTTGGGCCAATGTTGTGTGATCTGGTTTGAAGACCTCTTTTGTCTTCAATCTGACCTCTGCAGCCCAGATCTCTGGGATTCATGCTCTGGACTATTTGATCTTAACTCTGACTGATGGTCGGTCATCAGTACCCTTGTCAACGATGGGAGAAATAATACACCAAAACTCTGAAACATCTCAATATATGGCCTTCGATATGATACACGATACATACAGACCTGTATCACTACATATATGAGAGGATTTTCTTATTAAGATTGGGTGTCTGTCATGTAAGTGACTTTAATTTTTTAAAATTAATAAAACTGTTGGTGCATGGCCTTTCTATTGGTATTCTGATCTATTGAGGTACATATTGTATTGTGACCAGAGTATTGAGCTATGTATCATATTGTGTACTTCCGTGTCATTGCAACCCTATTGTCAACACTTCTGTACTTTATTGCAGAGATGTTACCAATCTCATTCAAATCAGACCTTAGTTCTCGCTACCGCTAAACAAAAATCTGAAGACATCCCATTAGGGCTCACGTGTTACTATCTGTCAGCAGTTCTCTGGGGATTTGATAATTATCGACTTTGATATCGATTTTCATCTGACCTAGTGACTAGTGTCATACAAGATGTGCCCTGTTTTTGTTCTACATCCTTTACATTATACTAGAACTGTTCACAATGGGACATTTGATGCATCGTTTAACCTCACAAGGAATCCAGTGGTTTCCTTGCTATTATAGTTTATACAGAAATCCTACCCAATCACACACTTGTATGATCTGTGGAAATATGTCGGCCTCCGTCACTGTTACACACCCCTTCTGTGGACAAGTGAGTGAGTGAGTGTGGTTTTACACTGCTTTTGGCCACCTTCCAGTAATATGACAGTGGGGGACACCAGATGTGGGCTTCACACATACCCATGTGGAGTTTTTGGTGTGACGAGCGAACGCTTCTACCACAAGGCTACCCAATTGATTATGTTACTGGTTACCTATATTTGAACCTCTATTCACCTAATCCTGAGAAATGTTGTCTTAAGTGGTCAAGGTCACTGCCAATTTCACAGCAAGGTCATTAACATATTCATAGAAATGAATTGCCATCTGTATAGCGGTATGTTATCATGTGGGGTGCTTGGAGGATACAGCAGTGAAGGGGCTGCTCCTGTCTGCAACAAGCATTTACTGTAAGCAGAAGAAACTTAGTACTAAAGCAGGACATAGAAAAGGTTTAGGTTTGAGTGTTTACAATGGTTTAGGTCATTAGATTTTCAGTGATCCATTCACAATTAACTATGGGTCTCTGTTTCAGAGGGGTAAGTTCCGACCTCGTCTGCAGCAGCTTGTGACCTCCAATGCACCGGATGATGTGATAAGCACCAGTAAGAAGGCATTCAAAGCGTTGCCCGATGTGTCGAGTGCTATCAAGACTCTGTCACTTCTGAAGGGTGTGGGCCCAGCTACAGCTTCAGGTGAGTACATCCGCCTCAAGCTGCATCAGCTGGAGTCTTGGCAAGTCTAGGATCCATTCATGGACTTAATCACCAGGTGTTGTCTCCAGCTCATCCCCGTGTCTCTGCTCTAAGTTTGTATAAGGCTTATGACAAGAGAAATGGTCAATATCAGTGTAGTAGCGTTACATTGGTTGGTTCACAGTGACATATGTCACATTTAACTTGACCAACTGGCAAGGTGTCATATGTTTTTTTGAGGGAGCATACTAGAGGTGTAATGATACAGGAGGGTCGCGATACGATACGTATCACGATACAGGGGTCGCGATACGATACATATCACGATACAGTGTTTACTGGTACAATCTAAGCCAAGTTGATGTCTTTCTGCTATCTTAAAGATATGACAAGTACAGTTGAAGAAGATATAAGGTGTTTATTTACTGTTATAGCAAATTGTCAGCAATACAGTATGTTTTACTGAAACAACAAACTGGCTTTGAAATTGTTAAACGTATTTCATGTTTAAAAGTACCGTATTTTCTTGAGTATAGTGCGCACCCATGTATAATGCGCACCCCCTCTAGCGAGTTTAATATTTTGGGAAAAAAAGAAATTTGAATATTATGCGCAGAAAAAAATTACACCGTACCCCTTCAGCGAAGTCCGGCATACGAACGGGTGATGAGAAACTTCGTCAGTACAAATTCGAAATTTGAGATAAAAAATCACCAGACATGTTGATTTACCGTTTAAATTGTATTTATTGTTCTGCTAGGCATTGTTTTATATCCAGGGATTAAGATTACCTTGTGTATTTTCTCGTAAACTAAGCCGGACACAGCAATCAGCTGTACACACGTTTTCTTGGAATCTACCGGTGATTCGGTCAAGACACACCCAATGATATAACTTTACAGGATTTTAATGCAAGGATCGGCAAAAGTTGTATCTGAAACTATTTTTTTATCAGGAATAATATATTCCAATATCTTGTTAATTTAGATGCAGCTTGTACTAAACATATTTAAAATAATAATAACCCTAAGCGAAGCAGCTGATCGCTATTGCCGGGTATTATTTTTTACATGGAACCAGTCTGACCAGTCACCGTCAAGGCTCCCGTGCACATGATCGCGAGAATTACATGTTGACATAGAATCGTCCAACAAAAACAAATATGACTTTTAACGAATCAAAGTATGGCATTTATGATATATGTATCCATTCTCTGTCAACTAGAGCTCGTTTCAAGGCGTCAATAGCGGTAATCTGACCGTGGTTGCTGTTAATAACGGTGAGTTGTGCGATCTTCCGATCGCTTCACACACGATTTCGCCAAAATTAATTAAAACAATATTAAAAGGAATTTTGAATAAAATTAATGAAATAAGTTACAAAAATAAGTCCAGATATACAAAGAACACTTTTTATAGCCAGACAGTGTAATTACATGAATAATTTGCGAACTTCAGTATTGATTTGTTGACATTGTATTTCCGGTGTTGCGTGCACGGTAATGTCTTTCCATGGGGGAAAAACATCAAAACTCATTAAGTAAAACTGTGTTATGAAAATATCGTATGTATCGCGATACATGCTTTCAAAATCGATGCATCGTATCGTGGGCTGTGCATCGGTATACAATACTGTACGTTGTATCGTTACACCACTAGAGCTACATTTGATTTCTATGGTAGGGTCGAATTTTTAAAGAATAGTTTGTTAGATATATACTCAAAATAAAGAAAATAGCCAAATGTAAAAAGAATGTGTGTAAATAGTGATGGTGCTCAGTAAATAAATAGTTTGTTAGATATAGCTAGGGGAAAATAGATGGTTCTCAAATAGATTTCCCATGTCCCCCATACAAATCAAATTGATGCTCTGTATCATAAATTCACCATGATGTATGTGAGTGACAAGCTGGTCCTATTAAACTTGTCTTACAATGATAAACAAAGTGAATGCAAGATGAAGGAAGTGGCATGTTGCCCATTGTCTGTCTGTTTGTAGACATCTCCTCTGAAACGGCAAGGCCTGTTAGAACTGAAACTTTGACCAATACAAGCTATGGCTCTAAAACATTCTCACAGAATCAGGGACTTATCTGGACCTGCTCAAAGGCCGATATTTATCCCCAAGTCTGCAGCAAGTGTCAGTGAAACATTCCCATATCGGAATTAAAAATTTCCAAACTCATGTAAATATAGTTTTAACCAATGTTATGGCTTGGTAGAGGCATCTTGTATCACTGACAACAGGGCCAATAAACTAGAAGAGGTTTTGATGCCAAGTTTCACCTTATCACACTGAGTGCAATGCTAAAATATGTCCACATTTAGGGAAATAAAACATTTTAAAAAGATCACAATTTTTAACAAAACTAATGTTTTTCCCCAAGTTGCCTGCCATGGGTACTTAGTTAAAAATCCTAGATAAATCCTGGAGAATTCTGATCCCATTTTGAAGATGACCAAGTTGGAAATGTAATTTTGACCCATTCCTGTGAAACCTGCATGTATGATCATGTATTTTCAGTATGTAATGTGTGCAGTGTATTGTGATTTCTGTCATCTTCATCAAAACCTCACCCATTAACGTTTGTGTACTGCTGAGGGTGGGAATAGTGCAGTATTGTGTGTTATTATGTAGAAATTATGTAGGTTAATCAACATGCTGTAAAGATTTATGTTTAGTGGATTAAATATGATGTTTTTATATTTTTGTCTATGACACTTCTATGTTAACACTTTTAATGTGGAAAAAGTACAAGAAAAATTGGTTCATTTCCGTGTGAACTTGCCCTTTAACCATAGTTTGTCATAATCATATATACAGCATATATACAACAAATGGCTGGGACTAAAAAATAAGTTTGTTATATCGATAAGTTCATTATAAGAGTTTTCATTATAAAAGTTGTTTTACTGTATGTGATATTCCAGAAAAGTTCTGTTGTCTTGTGGTTCTCATTATTGTGGGTAGGTGTAAGGTCATTTTGTATGTGACCCTGGTACAAGATTTCTGATCACATTTTTCAGAAAACTTCATGTGACCTACACAGCCTTGTGGCTCTCATTATTGTTGGTAGGTGTGAGGTCATTTTGTTTGTTTGTTGTTGTTTAATGCCACAATCAGCAATATACTAGCTCAATGACAGTGGTCTGTAATAACAGAGACTGGAACAGACAATCCCGTGATTGACATCAAGAGCATCAATACATGTAATTGGGATATGACGACGTACATCAACCAAGTCAGTGAGCCTGACCACCATCCTGTTAGTCGCCTCTTACGACAAGCATAGTCGCCTTTTGCGGCAAGTATGGGTTACTGGAAACCTATCTTCACGGGTCAGGTCATGTTGCACTTGGCCCTGGTCAAGTAGACATTTTCGAAATATTTTAGCCCTCCATGTTTCCATTTCAGCCATACTGGCTGCAGGGAGCCCAGAGTACAGCCCCTTCATGGCTGATGAAAGTATGCTGGCCCTGCAGACTGCACCTCTGACCTACACACACAATGCCTACCTCGACTTCCTGCAGGAAGTACAGGCCATCTGCAAACAGCTGAAGCGTCAAGGTATTCTTGTCTGGCCCCTATGGGGGTTACAGGGTGGACCCTGTGTTGATTGTTTGTTGTTGTTTAACACCGCACTGGACCAGACAATACAGTGATTGACATCATGATCATCGATCTACACAATCATGACAATACGACATGCAGCAACCAAGTCAGCAAGCCTGACCACCTGATCCTGTTTGTCGCTCCTTACGACAAGCATGGTTTGGTTAAGATCAATTCTCAAAACCTGGATATTCGCAGGTTAGCACCTCATTTGATAGTTGACTAAATAATGGTTGGTGGTCACGTGTCAATATATGCTGAACTGTCTGAGATAGGTATTTCCAGTAGCGTGCATTCTATTGTGCTGGGTGCACTTTTTAACTATTGTGCCAGCAGAGGAATATAGGGAAATCCCTTACTATGTTAACAATTTGCATAAAAGACTTGGATAATATTATACTTTTTATGATATTGTGACAGAATGGATAATCAATGATAATAATTTGTGTATCTTAGTGAGCTGGTTTCAGAAGAAACCAATAAAAACATATCAGATATATGTGTTTTTAAAGCTTCCCTTAAGGTCCAACATGCAGCAAGATGCCATTGATCATACAGAGTTCATGATGTGGCAAAATGATCTTACAGTACACCGATGTCATTATTTTAAAAATGGGCAGCGCTACTAGCATTTTCTTTTGCATAAACAATATGCAGCCTGTCACATATTAGACCAAAGTTCACTGTGTGATGTGTAAAGGCCTTTGTGAGCACAAAATGAGACCAGCAGGCATCCTTATGGTTTATTGTTCCGGGATGAATATTTTCATGGATGTTTCGGGATGCATCTGTGTTAATTAACTCGCTTCAACCTCTCAAATATGAAAACATTGAGAAATTTTGGTTTCCAATTGAAAGTATTTACTGAAAGTTCAAATTATCTCATGTCATGACATGTTGTTGGTCGTCTGTCATAAACCTTTACATTTCCTCTATCTTCTCTAAAACCACAAGACCTGTGATGCTGATGGAAACTTTGCATGAATGATCCCAGCAATGAACCGGAATGCCATTTTGAAAGTGGTCATATGTAACAAATGTTATATTTGGGATAGAACTTTCTTCGTAAAATACAGATTCTAGTACTTTGTAGGGTTGAGTTGGAAGCCACGGTGCCTGAGTGGGTTTTTGATTGCCGACTTTGTGTGCTGGTGATTTGGTTCCTCACTCTGTCAGTGTGGGTTCGAATCACGCACGGGACTCAACTCCAAAAAGTACTAGAATCTGTACTTTACTTAGTAAGTGTTTTCCCAAATATAACATTTGTTAGATCCTAGCATTGTTGTTCTGAAACAAAGCTCACAGATCCCTGACCCATTTCATAAATATTAAGCATGACTGAGAGTGCGGGTTAGAATCCTGGATGGGACTCAATCCCTAAAAGCACTAGAATTTGTACTTTACCAAGGAAGTGTTATCCCCAGCAAAACATCTGTTACATATTGGTCATGTTTTGCAACAACTTGCTAGCCACAGCTGTCCAGGGCAATTTTGTCATTGATTTGAAATGTTCACCAATCAATCAGGAATACCTTCTTTTTTTTTAACATTGGCAAAAGGGGTGAATTTAGCAACATGTATTGTTATTTATCACATAAATGAGTGGGTTTCTCGGTTGGATAAAGCCAAAGGATAAAAAAAATATTGTGTTGAATATATAGTTTGATTTTTGAAATTGGTCTCAGGCAGTGTGTCATTTTTTATCGTCACAGAATAATGACCAATTATCAGCATGGACACCTTCATGAACAAAAGCTGTATAAACTTCCAAGATAACTGTCTTGATATTCCTCCAAGTATATTGGGGAGGAAAAAGTACTGGTGAGGAGGTTTAGCATCTGTATTTGTTTTGTCTTGCTGCAGATAAAGGGTTTCACTGGACCCCAAAGAAAGTGGAGTTGGCCCTGTGGACCTACCATGTTGGGAAAGGGCTGACACCTGATACAATAGAAAAAAGTTTCACGTCCAAAACACTGAAGAGAGTGAACGATAATAATGAAGAACACCTACCTAAGAAGAAAACAAAATGATTTTTGTGATGAATGACAGAAGCCTGAATAAATTGAGATTACATTACAGATTCTTCAGTCTTTGTTTACCTAATTACAGGTGTACGCACAGAGCTCTAGTACTGGTTTGTCTGGTCAAGATTATATTATTTACAGGCAGCATTGAGCCGTTTATTCCTAACTTCTATGGTAAAGAATAAACTAAATGAAAACATTCAGTTTATTATCCCTTGCCACAAAGTGATATGCATCTTCAAAAGTCCTGTTTCCACCTTGCCAAACTGGACTGGAATTTCCAGGCTCGATTGTAGCACCAACAGTGGCTATTACGAGTTATGTCCCTTCCATGTCCTTCCTATTAACCAATCAGATTCCATTTGCTTAAAACAAAATGGCGGTGCCCAGTCAAGACAATCTGATTGATTATCAAGATCTGTATTGTAATTAAACGGGTTCAACCCCCCGTAGTGCATCAAATGACGAGAGCACCTTGACAAAAGACATGAAAATATTTGCGACCCCCAGTAGAAGGTACACATGCTTTGTAAACCCTGCACTCGACCGAAATCAGCATGTTGTTAACAAACCGGATTTCTAGTTTGATACGTGATTTTGATTGGACTATGCATAGACTCAACGGAATTCCAGGCTATTTCGGCAAGGGTGGAAACTAGACTTTTAGTCTGTTAACTCCCTTCCCTCGGGAAGATGAGTGAAAGGGGTATAGAAGAATGAGTGCTGTCCGTCTGTCAAGTTTCATTTCGGGAGCAGAACTAAAAAAACATCCGAGATATCTTAACCAAATTTGGCACCTAGATAGGTGTAGTGTTGAACTGGTGCCTTTTAATAGTTTGGGATTTTTGTAAAAAATCATTTGTCGAGTTTCCATGGCAACGACTGTGACTTTGACGATTGAAAATGGTGGTAGTGCTCGTTTCGGACACCATATCTTGAAAACCGTACATTTCTTCACCAAACTTGGCACATAGATAGGTCCAGTGGTAAGCTTGTGCCTTTTTGATAGTTTTGGAATTTTGAAAAAATATTTTTCCATAGCAACGACTTATACTGCGAATGGTGGTAGCGCTCGTTCCCATGAGCAAATCTTGGAAACCGTGAAATATTTCTTTCTTGCCTTGCACACAACCAGACATGCGGGGGATGTGAGTATTTCCTGCTTGTTTAGTTTAATGCATATTTCACATGCCCTATAAAAGGTCTAGGACGGGGTACTCGGGTCGGGTGGGTACTGAGTAGGACCCGGGTACCCACAGAACTACCCGGACCCGTGGTTTTTCAATTGATATATTGTTTAATGACAAAAGTTATCTAAAACTCTGTGGTTACACTACAAGTCACTAATGTTCCCATTTCTTTCTGACTATGCACCCATTCCTTCTGACTTTTATGTTTGAATAAAGATAAAACTTCATGCAGTAAACTTCAGTGTTTGTATGACCAGATCGTTGTATACGTGTATCTTAATACATTTTGCAAGGGCAGACTTTTCTAAATCGGACGTCATGAGACCTACAGCGGGTACCCGGGTAGGGTCGGATAATAGGGGGTGGGTACCCGTGTATTAGATTTGGACTCCAGGCCTACCCTTTAATGTATATATTGATTGAGGCGAACAATGTGGTGGGGAACCCAAAAAATTTTAGTTTTCAGACCAAACAGCATGTCCAGTAGCTCACAAAGGCTGTATTAGATCATGTTGTAGCATGTTGTCCATCGTCATTAACGTTTTTTCATTTTATTTACTTCGTCCGAAATGGTTTGATGGATTCGGCTGAAATTTTGAGTGGATGTTTGTTACAATAGCAGATAAAAGTTAGTTCAAGGGATCTCAATTTGAATTTTACTGGGTTGCCATCTTTTATTTTAATAAATGAAATAATAAAAATCTTCTCAAAAGACTTAAGGGCCAGAGACTTGAAACTTGGCGGATGAGATGGTCACCTTTTGTAGTACAAAGTTTGTTCAAGGCAACTTGATCTAATGTCAAATATTGATGCGAGCGGCCATAATGGAAAATAAACAACTTCTCTCAAAAGCAACTAGACCAATGAAGCTGAGACTTCACATGCTTGTTCCGATGACACGATCACCTAAATTTGTCCAATATTGTTTAAATAGGAACGTCGATATTCCCACAATGGCTACCATTTTGAAAAAGATATGTCTTTTATTCATCCATTTTTGTTCAAAATGTAAAACGATGTTGAATATGTGTAGTTGTCATTGGGGCTCATCACACGTGTTAAACTTTGATCTAGATTCGACCTATACTAAACCTACACTGTGAGCCGGGCATTCTCCATAGCCTTCATTTACCCTGCGGTTTTTGAGGGGCAAATGTGATATCTCAAACTGGCCGATCAGAGAGATGAGCACTGGGCTTTCAATGACATCTAGTTCAACTGCCACATAAGCAGAGAATAGCACTCAATATCATAGCATAGTATTCTGCTACACGCGACATTTGTCATCAAAGAATAACACAAATACAATATGCTTAAATGATTTTCAATTTAATTATCATATTTAGAATGAAACTGTAATACTTTTTTGTAACTTAAGTGACAACAGATTGTCAGGTGAATCGTAATGTCTAGGTTACATTTCTTAAATATACTCCAAAACACAAGTGCTATGTATATATTTATATATTCAATGCCATTCACCACACCATGCCACGCATGAAGATCCGGGTTAGAATAGAATTAGGTCTTGGGCAACCCATGCTTGTCGCCAGAGGGCGACTAACGGGATCGGGTGGTCAAGCTCGCTGACTTGGTTGATGTATGTCATCGATCTCAATTGCGTGGATCTATGCTCATGATGTCAATAATTGGATTGTCTAGTCCAGACTCGATTATTTACAGACCGCCGTCATATAGGTAGATATTGCTGATTGTGGCATTAAACAACAAACAAACGAAACATAAATGTCAAGCACTGGATTGCCTGGTTCAGATTTGATTATTTACAGACCGCTGTCATATAGCTGAAATATTGCTGAGTGTGGCGTTAAACAACAAACGAACAAATGGGTCGTCGATGCGATGTAAGTGGAAAATATTGCCGACCGTCACAGAACACTCTCACACCATTACGCGTCAATACAGCCATTCTTCATATCGAGACATGTTTGCTAAATATATGTGTGGCAATCGGTACCCCAAACGGGACATACATATAAAATAAAACTAAATTGTTTACAATCCTATCATTACAACGCCTATGCAACACCAACGAAAAGCTGCGAAAACAGCTTTAACGCTTATGTTACGCACGAGGAACGAGAATGAGATATATATTTGGGCAAGTGATCGGCGAAAACACTGACTTGACTCCCCCTTAAATTGGACACTCCACTAGAGATCACCACGTAGTTTTAACTACTAGTCTGTCAGAATGTGTGTTCCTGGGTGTCAACCGAAGCGGTAAATGTCGACATTCTGCGGCGCTTGGGTGTTGCCCCCACATTAAGCCGTGATATGCCATGCTGTGGAAAGCAGTGTTAAACCGGGCTCATTTATTAAGCCGTGCACACCTCGTCCCATACATGCCACATAAATGTAGACCAGGTCCTTCAGAGTTTGTTTGTAGTTGCATGTCACAGAGGGTACGTTGCTATAAATACATCCATGTCACACGTAGGTTTTTGCGCGCTGAAATATCAGCGAGGTGCGGGTTACTAGTGTACAACGGCAATGGTATGGCGTGACTCACTCACTGTAAGATATCAGCCGATTTGCTGGTTTGGTATCTGGTGACTACTGGGACTATACAGAAAACGAACGACATTGTTGTGTTTACAGAAGCGATACGACTGAAATAGTCAGTAAGTGTGCGTGTAAGGTCTTACGTCATTATCAACAATATTACTACGGGGCAACCAGTAATATGTTGCACTATTAATGCTTGAAACACTTTTCGTATGTGACCATAACCAATAATTAGTTTTCGGATAACTTGACCTATCATTTCTCTTGAACTCTTTATCCTTTGTAGGAAACTAATGGCACGTGTGCTGCTGGTAAAGCCGGACATGCGTACCCTTAACACCTGGTGTCATGACTGGTTTTCATTGATCCATTCATAACATTGTCACCGCTATTTTGCCTTTTGCGCCCAATACAATCTGTTTCAGTACATAACCGAGATTAGTTATTCTCTGACATTTTATATTACACCCATGTCTGTAAATCACAAGTTCGCCGAAGCCGAAGAGATTGTACATGTCGTAGTCACATGGTGTAAGCAACTTCAGATGTAAGTACAAATATAGAGCCATTTAACGTCATTTTGTTATGTCCTATTTGTATACAACTATTCAAACTATAAAAAGGGAAACAAAAATGTTTTGTTTGTGAGTCGTTTTCTTAATGTTAATTTGCAACTTTAAAACGACAAGTTATAACATGTAAAGTGATCTATGTATGTGTCACATTCACTGTAATCATGTTTATTTATAAGTTTGACAACCAACTGGCCGCACAGCTAGAAACTTCTAGATAATAGAATACTGCACTCGGATTACAGCGGTGGGCTGATAACAGTAGGGCAGACAAAGACGAAAACATATTCTCTTAATATATATTACGCTCTACTGCTTACAGTTATGGTGGAGAATGTAGCGACAGGATCATCTAGGTTTGACGGTGACGACTCGCCTGAAAGAGCGGTCTTATTCATTCATTTCTTTCCTCGATTCTGGGAAAAGAGAGTTTCACTGGATCAGCTGTGAAGATAGAAGGCGGCTATGTGTAAGGGAGAGGGAAGACTGAGATCATGACTGTCGATACACGCCGGGAAGACAGAGTTAATGGCTGTTCACCTAAGGCTTGATGAATATATTTTCTACGCAGGTAAATTAATAATTCTGATGATCATATGTTTGTCAGGTCCTAGGTTATATATGTTAATGAGATCGGTTTGGGCGGGTTCCCGACTCGGCTCTCTATCTGGTTAAAGTGGCTGGAAGGCCAAAGTGTCGAAGGCCAAATATGGTTACCAAATTGATAATGCCAAAGAGCAAGATACTCATAAACTATGGATCATTATCGGGGAGAATATTGGAGTCGAACCCACGACCAGTGAACAATGGCAGCTAAGGGACCCCACTCCGTACTTTCGGCCAGCGTACCACACGTGTGTCCTTGCTATACATGCGGCCAGTTGAAACATTACACCTATTTACACTAGTTGTCTTCTGAAAATATGTATTTTATTTTTTAACATAAATAGATGAAACATATGATATTATACCTTTCTGAGAATTGAAGTTCACCTAACGGGAACAGAGAACATATTATTGATATTATTATATGCATTTCGATTTCAGGTCTTCCACAGTACCTCGACAGTTGACATAATGGTGAAGACCACCTCTGTGATGCCCGCGGTGATTGCCTGTAAGTAACACTGTTTTTGAATTGACGAAAGTGCACTTATTAAAGCGCATCCTTAAATGTTTTTTTCCTCTGCGTAACACTGTAACGTATCATTTAGACTACATGTAGGTGTTTAACTGTTTGAAGGTGTTCTGTACAATTTAAACAATCGTCGTGTACTATTCCTATGAATGAGTTGTGACTTCTGTTTCCCATTGTATATAATTCAGCAACTGAAGTGGTACAATATGTATTTTGTGATAGAACGCTTTGTAACGAAAGGTACATGTTTTACTTACATTTTCAGGCATTCTCCTTGGTATCTGTTGTGGTAAGAACTTTATCTTCTAATGTCCGAATAAAAATTATAATGTCGATGTTTTCCCAAATTAAATGTTCATGTTAAAGGTCAGTGTTAAGATTCACACTCGATACCCTACATAGGTACAATATTTGAAGCCCATTTCAGGTGTACACCGACGTTATATGGCTGGAATATTGCTGACTAGTGTTGTACAACTCACTCACTCACTGTTTCTATTATGTTTTGTTTGTAGTGAGGTCAGCATATGGACAATGTGGAGACCACTGCCTCGACTGTAAGCATGGTACCTGCAGCGAGTGTATATATGGATGGTACGGTACTGATTGCACGAAATCTTGTCAAGGGTGCTGGTACGATAGATGTGAAAGAGACACAGGGAGATGTGTACAGTGTTCGCCTGGATACTACTCTAATGCATGTAATAAAGGATGTCCACTTGACTGTCGTGAAAGCTATGATGGGGACAGGTACTGTGACCGTGACACAGGGGGGTGCCTAGAGGGGTGTGTCCCTAGGCGGTGGGGACATCAGTGTGAGAGAGTCTGCAGCAGCACCTGTGAGGAGTCCGTATGTGACCAGGATGAAGGAACATGTCTTCTTGGTTGCACCGATGGATGGTTCGGCCAGTTGTGTGATACACCATGTCCAGAAAACTGTCTTGGAAACAGGTGTAACCTATTTCAAGGATATTGTGGTCGCTGCAAGCCAGGGTTTATTGGGAGAAAGTGTGATATACAGTGTAGGAATTGTGCAGACAATACTTGCACCTACAACGAACTGCTCTCATCTGTTAGTTGTACCAGAGGATGCGTGAAGGGATGGACGGACGAGGACTGTCAGTCCCCTTGCAGCAACAGATGTCTTGACGAGGACTGCAACATCAATGGCACATGCAAGAGATGTCCAGATGGATATTATGGTGACATTTGTACTGTGGCATGTGAACAATCTTGCCTAAAATGTGAGCAGATATCCGGAGTATGTACTCTCAAGCAAAGTCGAGAAATTCGTCCAAAGGAGGACTCATATGACTTGCCCACCACGCCCATAGTACTGCTGTCACATGGTGGGTCGTCCCGATTTATTTTACACGATAAGTTCACACGATATAAGGCTTTCCATTGGACGAGAGGTCGGTCACATGACCGCGATATTGATGTTCATAAGTGTATGAACGACACAATTTGACGTTTTCACGAGACCGTGTTCTTGAAATCCCCCGGGAATTCCCTAGCACGAATAGATACAGAAGGGTTGTTTCTCACCATTTGAACTATGCGTTTTAGCATATATTGGGATAAGTCAGAGAGATTGATTGCATGTCCGTTCAAGTATATCCTCGCTACAACCCAAAAACGAACAAAACGAAGAAAAGCATATTCAAACTACCGTAGTATCGACTCGATCCGTGTGTAGACTACAGCAATATATGACTGTACCGTTGTATCTATTATCACATCCCTACAATCGCCTTTCAGTGATCGGCCAATTTATCAGTGATAACTAAGACTTGTAATAGCCACAGGTTCATTAAAAACTTCGGAAATCTCTCCCGTAACGTTTATCGTGTCGGCCATTTTGACGTCATGGGCTTGATGTAAATGTATTACGACGCGCTGTCATTGTGACTGACTGACTTACTTAGGTAGCTCTAAACAGACTGTTCCCAACTTATGATGATATTATTTGAGTAAATTGGTTTACAGAAACTATAAAAGTTGTTTCTGTTGAGCATGTTGAGCATACATAAGCTCATGTCACCTCTCGTATTGAGAACTATTCTATTCCGCGAGACAGCTGGGAGTTGTATGGCTGGCAGTGTAAACATGAAGTCACACGTACCAATTATGATTGTGTTTCAATAAAATTAGATAAAGGTCTACGTCCTTTGAGGTACAAATAGTGATATAAACAAGCTCCGACGTTCATACAGTTAGGCCCTCACTCTATCAAGGTTCATACTCCAATGAACTCACACAAAGTGAAGGTCAGTTCTTAAATACATGAATGTCTACTTCAATTAAATGAGGTCATAAAATCTCATCAAACCACACTATAAAGATGTCTAACATCGATAATTAACACACGAAATGCCAAAGGACCAGGTGCTAGTGTAGATTTAAGCAAGGGCAAACAGTAGTGTACAGGTGTTTCCCTGATACAGTCAAGAAAAGAGGAAAGTAAATAATCCACAGTAGCTTGGTGTGATACTAACACTATCGATACCAGTCACACATTTGCTATTTTGAGAACTGGATGTCCAATACTATAAAAATGTCATGTTGTCCATCCATATGGATGTGGGGATATCAGGATGGAACAGGTCCCCAGTTTTCTACGCTTTATGATGTGACTAAAATGGATTGGTTGGTCGGGCTTGGTTGATGGTAACGACGTTCGTGGGACTTTGCTCATGATATCCACCATTGGTTTGTCTGGTGTCCGTGATATATCTAGAATGTTGCTGACTGCGGCGTCAAACAACGTTCACTCGCTCTCTTCTGACATGGCAATATGACAGCGGAGCCAACACACCGATGGGCCATTTCTTTTCTGGCACAATAAGCAAACAGCGCACTAAAGTTTTTACATTATCTATCGAAACCTGATCTTAATACATGTGTTTGTATATGCGGATTAAACATGAGAATGTCATTAGAATTTCAATTTACTACATATCTTGCATTGAACGGTTCCTACGACATGTATAATGGAATCATCACCTGTTGTTGAATAACTGGTATCAATGTAGAGAAAATCCTATCCTAAAGCAATGATCAGTTGATTGTTGTTACTTCTGTAATTCAAAATGTCATTTGTGTACATTGTATGTATTGTTTGTATTTGACAGGTTCCCGGATCACCTGTCCACGGATCTGGATGTGCATGTTAGCAACGATATGCTACGGACTCAGTTACGGATGGGGTTGAAATGAACTACTTCTAAACAGGATTCCGTTAAATGTTGTTGGATCGTGTTTATGGAATTTGGAAGTTTAAATTTCAATGATTGTTATTTGGGGATTTCCCAATAAAAAATAAAAATAAAAGATATATCATATCATATCATATCATATCATATTTTGACAGACAGAATTTTATTCAGTAAAGAAGGCCACATGACCCATAGTTACAATATATTTTGGATACGCTCTATTAGCTAATAAACCTCAATATAAATATAGAAACAGATAGCATACTGACAGTGATGGGATTATATAAAGTGTTATATAAATCTGACAAACTAAGATTTTCCAGACGCTTCAGTTAGTTGTTTTCTTTTCTTAGTACAGTGAACCCTGAAACATTTCAAATAGTGATAACTGTAAAAATACTAGACATCCCCTCTGATACTGAAAATGGTATATAGAAATCTAGAGAAATAATATAAAATCTCACTTTGATCTGATGTACACAACATATTTATAGTAACAAATGATTTATTCTTTTTTCTCAACTCCTCTAGAAAAACCTTTCGGCTATCTTCATACCTAGGACATTGAAATATAATATGATTTTCATTCTCAAGAACATTACAAAAAACCCAAATTGCTTCTTTATCCTCTTTAACACATTTACCTTTTCTAACATTCTGGATTCCAAATGAATTAAAACCACTTCTGAATTTTAACAACGCTCTTCTAAATTTAGTTACATTTATACAAACCACATATTTTTCACATTCTAACAAAGATTTAAATGAGGAACAAAAAACAAGAACTTTCTTTTGTTCCACATCTGAATGCCAATCCTGTGTTGCACAATCCAACACTCTTTGCTTAAATATGTTTAGAAATAACTGTTCATCTCCCACTTCATGCGATACCCATACTACTCCAAAACCATAAAAACATAATAAATTTCTAACATGAGTGGCTCAATTAGGTTGTTTCCTATCACAACAACTTCTTAGCATTTGATAACACTGATATGGGTACCTACTTCTGGACATGGCGATAAGCCGTAACCAATATTTTATACATTTGACATAATATACAACTTTAAGTGGACGTCTGCCACATTCTCCATAGGCTACTGCATTTGGTAACTTATAAGAAATATTCAAAATGAATTTACAAAACTTTCTATGAACAATTTCTATACTCTCCCTCTCCATAAAACCCCATATTGCACTACCATATGTAAGAATTAGCATAATTTTCTTGTCAAAAATTTGAAATGAATTTTCCACTGGAATATCAAATTTCCTTATCAAAGACCTTACTGGGATTAATGCTTTACTAGCTTGCTCTGATAATACTTTACATGCTTTAGTCCAAACAAGCTTTGGTGTTACCATCAACCCCAAATATTTATAAAAACTTACAGTTTCCATTTTAACACCATTATATGTCCAATTCTCATATCTAGAAAGTTTACCTCCATTCTTAAAAACTATTATTTTTGACTTATCCATATTTAACTCCATTCCCCACTTAAAACAATAAACAGCAAGCTGATCTTATCGCTTTTGCAATCTAAGAGGGGTGTCTGCTACAAGAATGAGATCATCAGCAAAAAGGAGAGCAAGAATATTATACATTTCTTCGGATATAAATATACCATCATCAAAAGACTTGCTAATATAATCAACAAGCTCTTTAATGAATATGGAGAACAGCAGGGGACCTAATGTACATCCCTGGCGAACACCAACAGTACAAGAAAAATATTCTGATAATTTTCTACCACCATTAACTACAACAGCAGATTTCACATTATCATACATACTCTTGATAACATTATAAAATTGTCCATGTATACCATTTTGTAACAATAAAAATAATAACTTATCATGACTAACTCTATCAAAGGCTTTCTGAAAATCTATGAATGCGCAATAAAATTTTCCCTTTTTGCGCGTTATGAATTTCTGAGTCATAGACTGTAAAATAAAAATGCGGTCCCGGGTTACTCTCCACATCACCCGCCGTTGCCAACTTGTTTACAAACACTGTCCTGCCCCAGAAATAGATCAAAGGCGGGTCGCTCGTGCTGCACGTGCACAGCTGCATATGGATACAGTTCATGATTGCAAAGTTATCGGTAGAGGGCAGCCACACTACACTTTCATAGACCAGATAAAGTTTTGCTGTGTAACCATGGGCCATGGTCGTCATTACTGATGATAGATAACACACTGTCGTAAGCACAAACATCATACAGTAGGCACGATAGGCAAAGTTCATACCTGGCGTCCATTTTGTCTTGTCCGTAAAGGCTTCGACTTTGCCGATCTGTCCCGAACCACTAGGCATGTGGAAACAGCCTATCTTAACCCTCCAGGTCATCAAACACCCCCCCATAGTTATTGTGCACCTTTATTTTGCGCAGTAAAATACTTTTGTGCCCGAGGGAGGGGAGCTGGAGAGATTTTTGCCGGAGCTCTCTGCAAGCACGTCTGCCAATACTCGCGCATTGGAGTTGTGATTCTTCATAAGCCGCCGTTATAAAATTCGTGTTTTGTTACTCTATGTACATGCAACAGCCCATCTATCACTTCTATATTCCATAACTCAAAAAGTGTAAAGGCTGGTCGTGGTTAAAGCGTTGAAATTCGCTCGTCACGACTAAGGTCTGGGTTCGATTCACCACATCTGTACAAGCCGATTTCTGGTGTCCACCGCCTTGATTTTGTTGGAATAGTGCTAAAAGGGGTGTAAAACCACACTTTCACCCATTTTCTCTTCCACAAATGATGGGTAACTTGAACAGAACAGAAAACGTGAATAATACAATTCATGTTTTGGTTTTCGAATCTAAACTCGTTGAGTAAAAAAATAATGACGAGTAGCAGCTATATCTTCCCCCCTATTTCCAGAAACGATAATACTCTGTGACTCTATATAAAAGATACATACTGTCTTCAGCAACTGAAGTGGTAAAATATGTATTTTGTGATAGAACGCTTTGTAACGAAAGGTACATGTTTTACTTATATTTTCAGGCATTCTCCTTGGTATCTGTTGTGGTATCTGTCTGTTCAGTTTGTCTGACGATTGTACATGCTATAGTTCATGTACGTTTTCTAATAAATGTCCACACATCAAGCAGTTGCTAACCTCACTGATTGTGATTCATTATCCATATGAGAAGCCGTCACTGGGATGGATAATGGTCGTCCATATTCGCCAATCTACCGAAAAAGACAAGGATGTATTTCCAAATGCATAGAGGACCCAACCAAACATCCATTTGTCACATGAGTTGTCATCAGACGGTGTTGTGTACTGTTGTTTAACGTCACAGTCAGCTATACTCGTGCTGGATGGCATTCAGTGTGGCGTCAACTGTCTGGAATCATCATATACTATTTCCATTATTTTGAAATACTAGTATACTTTCACGGAGAATGTTACCCGAGTGTCTTCCGAGATCATAGAAGTCAAGACGAGTTGGATCGTTCCAAGTGTTACTTGTCTGGCCGGACAAGAGTCGATTAATTACAGACTGCCGTGAAAAAGCGGGAATATTGCTGACTGTGTCGTAAAACACCATTCACTCACTCCATCAAAATGACCGTGTTTACTAACGTCCACGTCTCGTGGCCATTTTGATTATATTATTACAGCTGTTGTGTTTGTGAAATATGTTCATTTCCGAGACGAGATGTTAGTCTACCCTTCCTATTGAACATCAACTTTATGTTCCTAGTACAAAGGTCATCACTTATGATTTCACTCCTGACATACGAGAATGTAAAATTGATGTATTTGGTGATGAAGTAGTTTATTTATCGGAAAATATATAATCCACATCTCACTCGAAGGACATGGAGTGTAAGGATGGCTAAACTTGTTCCTTCATCCGAAGGCGGTAACACTTCATGCCGGAAGTACATTCAGTCAGTCTCAATTACACCATGGTTTTCAGAGTAAGATCATGAAGTTCACTAAGAATATACTTGTACATAATAAATGGCACACTTGTCTTGTCACATGTTTAGTTCATTTCGTTTGTCAGCACCAAACGCGTGCACGTTTATTCACCACACGGCTAGACTGCACAGCGGTGTACGCGATTTGGGCTTTCGTCACACTCTATAAATAACCATGCACGTAATGTTGGTATCTAGCATACGCTATGATAGGACATGCACCTGGGTCACACTTGGGTCACACACGGGCAGAATGGTAAATTCAGCGAGAAAATTAATCGAATGTTTCAAATGTCGCTGAACGCAATATCATGCACGCAGGCCTCACATGGCAGGCAAGTATCGGGCAAGGTACGTCGTCAAATTACATACTAGGTAATTCACTGATAAGCTCGAGAATGTAACTGCGTCAGTATGTTGACCCACATTGAATTGCTGTCTTAGATCTCCTTGCCTGCGTTCTCGATGCTTTCGTTAGAAAGAGGGACCCGAGAATGAACGCCGGCATAAAGGCAGAATAGAGTTACATACGTCTTTGGCAGATGGCACCCCACGTAGACTCAACGTGTATATCAACAGGTAAATCCATAATAATGATGATCACATGAAGATTTGTCGGAGATTATGTCATGTTTTGAAGTCAAAGGCGTCGCCTAACATCTCCTGCATTGACAATTTGTATTTACGTGAACTGGGTCGATGTTTCTGCTGGTGGACTGAAGTCCGCATACGCATATGTATATGTGCTGAGTCAACTACAAAAGAAATGTTTGGGCCGATACATTAATACTGCCCTACCTCCACTGTGCTGCGAAACAAACATGTTTCTCAAACGTTTTTCTTTACTCACAAGCAGTAGAATCTCTGCACTTATACACAACAAGCGTAATTCTAATTTTATGTATCGTTGTAATTAGTTTAAAAAAATCAGTAAATGCCTTGTCGGTTCATTTGATTTTCTGGTTCATCAATCACTGGATGGTCTGGTTGTTGTACAGGCCGCCGTCCATGACAGGAGTACAACTGTGCGGCGTCAGGCAACAAACAAAATAGTCATACATGCATCCTTTTTATGTAAATTGTGTGAAATGGAGGCTGAAATGGTAGGGTAGGACATGCATTCTTTTTTGCGAACACCTGGTGTCATCACTGATTTTCAGGGGTCCATTCATATAGTTTTCACAGCTAGTTTTCCCATTACGCCAAATAAAATCTTGCTTCGGCAGATTATGTAGACTTACTTACTTACTTACTTACTTACTTACTTTGGAGATTTAACGCTTTCCGACTGATGCGTATTTCGCACACGGGCCCGGCCAGGCCATTTAATGTGTTTCCGAAAGGGGCGAAAGTGGTGTGTGCAACCCAAGAGGGGGCTTTATAATTAGGGGTTGCTTATATAGAATTTGGGAATTTTGAGATTTGGAATAGATGCCGATGGGGTTGGGGAGGAGAACTAAGGGAGCTGGGTATGGTGGATGTTTGTTTGTTTATGTGATTTTGATTTGGTAGATTATTTTGTTTTTAGATGCGTTTTATTAGTTCCGGGTTATTCTCTTGCATTGACAGTTTATATATAGTAGACAGCAGATACCGCCGTGCATGCGTGAACCAGCTTCCCTTGGTACAAGGACGCGCAGCGGTAGAGTTATGCCAACGGCACTCAAAACACTGCCTGGGATCCCGTGGGATCTATGGTTGGGAAAATGCCGGACACAGGCCACTGAAATGAATCCTAAAAGTTTAGTAATATTCCACAGGTTAGTAACGTGCACATTGTCAACAACAGCCGTCAATCTGCCGATTGTACTCCAATGTTCAGCGTACCTAGTGCAGTGTAACTCGATGATGCCCAACTTCCAAGATCCACGCGCCTTTTCATGGCGTTACCTAAATCCCGTACTTCATAACATCATGTCACATCAACTTTAATTTCCATCAGTAATATCAGTAGTGGTCGAGAGAAGATCTCGAAGTAACTGCGACAATGGTTAAATTCGATTCGATTCGAAGGGCAAGGTCACGGAATGACAAGGTGTGAGTCAGTGAGTGAGTAAGTATGGTTTTACGCCGCTTTTAGCAATATTCCAGCAATATCACGTCGGGGGACACCAGAAATGGGCTTCACACACTGTACATGCATGTCGGGAATCGAACCCGGGTTTTCGGCGTGACGAGCGAACGCTTTAACCACTAGGCTTCCCCGACCGCCCCTACAAGGTGTGAAGATGACTAAAAAATACAACTGATATCTTACACGAGTGGAATATTTATGCCGGATATACTTTTTAATAGTGATTATCAGTGAGAAACATGGTACTCAATAGAACGTTTTTCTTTCCTTGTCAAATAACATATTTATCTCATGTTATGATGTATGCTGTTAGGATATTTCTAAGTGTATACTTGCTTCATAATGCTTCATTTATATCAAAAATAAATAAATCCTTCACGGATTGCTGTGTTTCGTACTAAAAATGTGTTTGTATTTCGTGCCTCTGTGCCTCACATTAGATAATAAAACAGAATATTGCCGACATTTGGTAAAGTTGTGAGAGCCACTGGCTGATAACTTCCTTGCATCTGCTGAACGTCACTGTGATTTTTGTAAAAACAAAATATTCAGGGTCATAGTTTTAATGAAAAGAAACCATCTGGTTGTGCAGATGTACCTGAAACAATAGCTAGTCTCCATTCAAAGTCCCAGGCAGCCCCGCTCCACCTCCCCAGAATATAAAATGGTCGGTCCTTTACGGGCTATGGGTCAGAATCAAGGAGAATTGTGGATTAGAACCTTCAACCAGCGCATCCTGGCAGCTAAGGGGCGTAACTCTGTGCATGACTTTTCGGCTCCTTGGTTCAGTACCACGCGTATCCGCTTGATGTATTTGTAACCAGTTTAGCAATATGTAAATACTTACCTGATCAAATGATTGTTTCTTGATGAGCATGAAAGTGTTAAGAAAACTAACATGCCTCTCTGCCAAAATAGACTTTCTTGTCGGGAATAGATGACATTATACAAATATCATTATATATACATTCCACATATTGATTTTCAATTTCAGCTCACTCATAATACCGTGAAAATCCTCATGATGTGGAAGACCGTATCACTGGTGGCAATGTTTATTGCTTGTAAGTTAAAACCCTTTTAGAAAATACTGAAGTGTGTTTCTTTCAAGCGGAGTTCTTATTATTCTCATATAACACGTTGATTTCGCTCTCAACCGTTGTAACATATATATGAAGGTGTTCTGTACATTAGACTACACTGCGTACACTTTTCTTATACTTTTAACTTCCGTTAGGGAACAGGTAAATGTTGGACAGAAAACGGAATTCCTAAGGTTGTCAACGTCCTATTAAGTTGATTACGTCGGAAAGAACACTAGCAGGCGTCTTTACCTCCCCAAACAGACAACAACAAAAATAAAATGATATGTAAATTGTCATGGACGTTTTATTTCTTTCATTATCCTTTCAGTGATGGTCCTTGTTGTCCTTTACGGTAAGAACATTTCACTATTCATCTTGGTTACCTTGTTGTCCTTTACGGTAAGAACTTTTCACTATTCATCTTATATATACAGGCTAGGTATTTGCCCATAGCAACACCTGCACAACTGTTTATTCACACGTGGTGTGACAGATTGTAATTGAACGAGAGCAAGTATTCACTCACCTGTAAATTAGGCCGACTCTCTAATTAGATACTTTCTCTTGGGCGAGTGACATTGTGTATTTAAGAGTAAACTGACCTAATTATAAGAATAGTCTAGAAGAGATTTCACTGAAGGTATTAGTCAGTACAGAGAGACAGTTACAATGAATTGCGATCTTTACTAACATCATGTACGTGCATTCGTGAACAAGTAAAAAAACGTTAACAAAATGTATATATTATATAACTATATACAATACCTGCTCTTAAGGATCTCACTCAATGAACATGTTTGTGTATGTTCTAATATACGGTTTAGACATTATACAACGTATTTGTGAAAATATGGGAATTATCATAAAAAGGGTGTGGTTTTTTTCTGAACTGTTCCCAATTTCAAATCAAAAGTTGCAATGCATTTAAAAGTTGCATTCTTGTCCCAATATTCACTCCGTTTTTCATCAATCAGCGGAATATCATATCACCAATGTTCCGATAAGGGAGGTGATGATAAATGGATCACAAAACAAGTTCAATGGCTTATCTCAACTCGGAATATAAGTGGGGGGGATTGCGAAAGTTTAGATTTTTCACTTGAGTGTAATACCTACATGTATATCTTGTATACACAATACGTAAATACCAAACGCCAGAACAATCAAACCTTGCTATTTGTTTATCATAAACTAACAATATTTACACACACACACACACACACACACACACACACACACACACACACACACACATTTAATTTTAATCCCTATACAGTTATTTTCGCTTGAGGGTTGTACACATTATACATGTACATTGTGTTGCCACACTGCCACATGTGCCACGCTGAACTGATCATTCTAAACACAATATGGATACACACCGCGTTATTAAGTAGTCCAGCAATATATCGACAGGAAACGTATACATGTAGATGCACCAGATTACAGGTTCACATTGTACTCATAGGGGACATCAAACCGAAATTTAGCGTGACAAAGTAATGCTTCGACTACCACCCCACACATTCACGAAAGCATTAATTGAATGCGCTGTTTAATATCAAGAGAAAAACACAAAGCTTATTTATCTGACCCATGTATACACTTTGATAGGCAATATGTGAAATATGTCATGTGATATGAGCGACTGAGTATGATAACCTGACCCTGGTATCATACCGCACAGGACACAATATGGAAGATGTATTTGCATACATGATACAGGTAGCTAAGTCATCAGTTATTACAAATATTGTTTGTTGGCACACGTGACCAACCATACAGTGAAAAGGGTATGTCGAGGTGTAGGAAACTACTTGGGTTCACTGACGACAATTGATGTACAAAACACACTAATTACACATTACACATTAAAACTAATACAAGATAACTAGCTGTCTTACTGGCCGTCTGGTGGTAATACCCTGTACAGTACGTGTGGAAGTGTTTGAATGCACAAGTTCTACTGTTATATCACAATGACACTTATCATATGTTACACACAGACAGATCCAAATGTTATAGTTGGTTTTAATTTAAATAACATGGGAATTGAAGTATATGTGTCTAATGCAAATGCGTACAAAATAATCAGTTTTGTAGGAGTATGCACTTCATATTGTTATCAGGGGCGGTCGGGTAGCCTGGTGGTTAAAGCGTTCTCTCGTCACGCTGAAAACACTGGTTCGATTCCCGACATGGGTACAATGTGTGAAGCCCTTTTCTGGTGTCCCCCGCCGTGATACTGCTGGAAAATTGCTAAAAGCGGCGTAAAATCAAACTCACTCACTCATATTGTTATCAACAATAACTGTGTGGCCACACTAATCAGGATGTCCCTCCATACATGTACATGGTCTGTGTTTTTACCCAAGTACAAGTACATGTACATACATCACCTGTGCTATAACCAAAGTGGTATTTATCAAACCACTGCATAAGTATATACTAGTACATTAATGCATGTAGATATGTACAAGGCAAGAGACACGATGCAAGTTGATCATACATCAAATATTCATGTCAATAAGAATATTTAGTGACAGCGTTATTGTAGCAGGAATAGTTTTACATGTATTTATCGAATGTACCTGCAGTCCATTCACAGTGTAGCATCATAGTATACTCTGTGCATGTATGGAGACGATTGCCATGGCCCGCCACGAAGTTGCAGCGAAATAGTCCCATAAAACTCCTAATTAGTGCAATAAAGCAATAAAATATTTTTCGTAGAAATCCGCGGTTTATTCGCAATTTTTTTGCAAATTATTTGAAAAATTATTTGCAACCTATCCGCGGACTATCCCGCGGATTATTCGCAGTTTTAGTGCAGAACTAGACAACAGACTTTTGCGTTGTTGTGTACATACATGGTATTGCTTTCAAAATAACTACTGACGAGACAGCCGATCACGCTCGAGGGAATACGCATTTATCGTCTCCCTCATAAGACGGAAATACAGTTCAATGCGCCTTTAAACCTTACTCACTTGCTAACGATATACTGAATGTGATGACAATGCAGGGGAATGTGTTCATTAATGTTTCATGAAGTGAAATTCTTTGCTTCAATCAGGAAAGGTGAAACAGCATTAATGGTTTCATATTTATAGTTTCAAATCCAGCTGCAAATTGCTTAAAACGCTCCTTAGTTGTGCTTTAAATCCAACTCGCTCACTCAATACTGAAAATTGAACAAGTGAAATAGGGCATATGAAATCACAACGTACCGGGAAATGTCTAGCCGTAATGTGTTTCTTTAACGTAATTCTGTCTCTTACAATAATCCACTGTTAATTCTGTTTCATTTGTAGTGAAGTCAACTATCAAATGTGGAGACAACTGTCTTCGAAGCAATTTTGGTACCTGCATCGAATGTGTAGTTGGATGGTACGGTGCTGAGTGCACGAAGAAGTGTCAAGGGTGTAAAGATATATGTGAAAAACACACAGGGAGATGTAAACAGTGTCAGCCTGGATATTTCTCAGATGAATGTAATAGACCATGTGCACTGAACTGTCGTGTAAGTTTTGACGTGGACAGGCACTGTGACCGTGACACGGGGAGGTGCCTAGACGGGTGTGTCCCTGGTAGGTGGGGACATCAGTGTGAGAGACTCTGCACCAGCACCTGTGGGCAATCTCTGTGTGAGCAAGATAGAGGAACATGTCTTTTTGGTTGCACAGACGGATGGTATGGGCGATTATGTGATGAACCATGTCCTCACAACTGTGGTGTCAGTTATGTTGGCAATAGGTCTTGTAACCAGGACACAGGGAAGTGCCTTGAGGGGTGTGTCCCTGGGCGATGGGGACGTCAGTGTGAGAGACTCTGCAGCAGCACCTGTGAGCAGTCCGCATGTGACCAGGATGAAGGAACATGTCATCATGGTTGCACCGATGGATGGTTCGGCCTGTCGTGTGATACACCATGTCCAGAAAACTGTCTGGTGAATAGATGCAATATTGTTCAAGGATATTGTGGTCACTGCAAGCCAGGGTTCATTGGGAGAAAGTGTGACATACAGTGTAGGAATTGTGCAGACAATACTTGCACCTACAACGAACTGCTCTCATCTGTTAGTTGTACCAAAGGGTGCGTGAAGGGATGGACGGACGAGGACTGTCAGTCCCCTTGCAGCAACAGATGTCTTGACGAGGACTGCAACATCAATGGCACATGCAAGAGATGTCCAGATGGATATTATGGTGACATGTGTTCTGTGTCATGTGCACCAACATGCTTAAGGTGCATGCAGATATCCGGAATATGCACTCAAAAGGAGAACTCAAATAACTCGCCCTCCACGTCCATGCTCGTGCTGTCATATGGTGAGTCATCCCGAAATACATGAGTGGTTTCCACTTCAATTAATTGAGGTAATAACATCTAATCAGAATGTCTCAGGAACAGGTATGTAGGTATGAGCAAGGGCAAACAAACACATGTAAACAGCAGTAGTAAAACGGAAAGAAAACCAACCAGAGTAGCTTGATGTCTTGTTTTATTACTTGCCCGTGAATAGATCACCCGTTTAATAAACATACAGCTGTATTACACATTGTGTAATACCAAAACGGGTGCTTATGTACTCTCGGAACACGTTTCTAGAACAAATATTGAAAGCTCTCAACATCCCTTGGCTTATTCAACGACATTGCGTGTTGAGATGATAGATCACTGAGAGGAGCTTATGCACACTCGATGACCCCAGCAACCTTGTTGCTAGGTTGACGTCACATGGCATTGTTTCGCCGTAGGATCTTGCAACAAAATTCCACATATTACGTCATCGGGTATTGTGACGTAATTGTAAACTTTGAGGTGCAAGGCCCCGTTCCACAACGCGATCGTAAGGTAGCGCAACGACAGTCGTTGGTCTAAGTTAAAGTATATGAGTTGCGATAACCTTAACGCTACGATCCTTTTGTGGAACGGACGCCTGAATTCTAAAGGTGGACCGTTGGATGGTATTAAATTCATACGTTTCAACTTTTGACGTATTTGAAGTATTACTGTGTTAAACTCAGTTGGATTATGCCGTGGATCGTGTAGGTGTCAGTCTATTCACACTCAACAGTATAATTCTAAAAACGTTATAAATGGCCAGTAATAAATAAAATACTAAACTCGCTCCCGTGTAATACCAATTTTATGAAACTCGTGAATAGTTGTGGTATCTGACGAGCTGTATGTCTCTACCAATATCATTCACAAATTTTCTACTTTGAAAACTAGATGTACAATGTAATCATGTTGTCTATCAATGTGATATTTATCACTGTGGCCAGGAGGGGATATCAGGATGGAACTTTTCCCCAGTAGCATATGCCTTTATGATCTGACTAAAATGGATTGGTTGGTCAGGCTCGTTGACTTGGTTGATTGTAACGGCGTGGAACATTGCCATTATATCAACTCGTGTGTTGGCTGGTCCAGACTCTTGTATTAACAGGGTTTGATTCCGTGATGTATCTGGAATCTGTCGGCGGGCTTAAACAACATTCAGTCGCTCTCTTCTGACATTGAAATATGGCAGCGGCGCAACAAACTGATCGGCACTTTCTTTACTAGCACAACAAGCAAAAAGCACATTCAAGTTTTTTACATTGTCTGTCGAAATATGATCTATATAAATGTGTTTGTATATACGAATTAAACATTAGAATGTATAGTCATTTGTCAGGATAATAAATGGCCTTTCAATTTACCACATATGTTGCATTGAATGGTTCCTAAGAAATGTTTTACTGGAATGCTCATCTGTACCTGAATTATGATATCTAACTGATATCAACGGAGAGAAAACCCTAAACTAAAGCAATGATCAGTTGATTGTTGTTACTTCTGTAATTCAAAATGTCATTTGTATTCATTGTATGTATTGTTTGTATTTGACAGGTTCCCTGGCCATCTGTCCTCGGATCTGGATGTGCATGTTAGCAACGATATGCTACGGACTCAGTTACGGATGGGGTTGACATGAACTTCTAAACAGGATTCCGATAAATGTTGTTGGATCGTGTTTATGGAATTTGGAAGTTTGAATTTCAATAATTGTTATTATGGGATTTCACACACTAAAAAGGTTATGCTGTAGACATTGGAGTTGTGATTCTTCATGAGCCGCCGTTATTGAATTGGTGTTTTGTTACTTATATAGTCTATGTATACTTTTTCACTCCATAACTAAAACAGACCCGTGAAGATCCGGGGTAGAATAGGTCTTCAGCAACCCATGCGTGCCCTAAAAGGCGTCTATGCTTATCGTAAGGGGCAACTAACGGGATCGGGTGGTCAGACTCGCTGACTTGGTTGTTGCATGTCATCAATCCCAATCGCGTGGATCGATGCTCATGATATCAATCACTGGATTGTCTTAAACAACAAACCAACCAACCAACAATTGTAACTAAAACAATGTAAAGGTTTAAACTTTTGCTACTCGTTTAGCCTAGTGGTTAAAGCACTAAACTTCGCTCGTCAAGCCAAAGGCCAGGGATTGATTCCTAGACTTGTACGATGTACGAAGCCCATGTTTTGGTGTCCACCGCTGTGATATTGCTTGAATATTGCCAAAAGTATCATCTCCTTTTTCACAAATGATGGACACTTCATGCCGGAAGTACATTCAGTCTGTCTCAATTACACCATGGTATTCAGAGTAAGATGATGAAGATGACTAAGAATATACTAGTACATAATAATAAATGACACACTTGTCTTGTCACATGTTAAGTTCATTTCGTTTGTCAGCCCCAAACCCGTGCATGTCCAGTATAAGCAATGCAAGCATTCAAAGAATCGAAATACATGTCTGGGTTGTGTATGACTATTTTACTGGAACAATTCGGGGCCTATTCATCATCTAATAATCTTGGAGCTATCTTCTCGAAGACATTGACATGGCCGAATCATATACCAAATGTTTCATTCCAAGCCAATGAAGTAATTTATGATATTAAGTCACTGTATGTTCTAAAACCTATCCCATTAGATATGTTTTTTTAATCTTGGATGCACAAGTCAGCTCAATTGTCCATGTTCCTGCCTGTAAACGCTTGTTACAAGCGAAGGATGCCACTTCAAATCATGTTGCAAGAGGAGAATGCGGCCCATGTCCTCTTTATGTTTATACATACAAACGTGTTTTAAAGAATTGCTGTAGTATCTTACGAATGCCTGAAAGTAGATAAATGTTATAACATCATGATGTTTCAAGCAGCAGAAAATGGGAAAATATATTGAGCGTAATCTCAGAATTCGTATTTCGTGTGCAGGCAATACTGGAGCAAGACTGGTATGATGCGCTCCTTCGGGGCACCAAAACCAATAGTTATACCCTTTATAAACTATCCTTCTGCTCGGAATTGTACCTCAAAATTACAACTGTTTCCAAATCTAGAGTTGCCCTGGCTGACAATGTAAATTGAATTAACATAGTATGTATCATCCTCTCCAATATGATATGTCTTCAACACATATGTGTAATGGGCCGATGGCCTCCTCACTTTCCTTGAATAAACAACTATATTAATAAGCAACAACACAGTCTGAGACATGTCAATTTTTTATATTTTATGTTATTATGTATGTTAAGTATACATGTGAATGAGATGAGGCTACGCTTTGAACAGCATTCCAGTCATATCGACTAAGGTTTGTTAAAAGTGGCGGTTGATCCCAAAGTGTTGGAACTGGGCGGAAGAGGTAAGTAGCAACCAGAAGTGGGATACGACAAGAACTCAGATAAACACATGTACAGTGACTATAATTGGAACTATATGTGGAGCTGTGTATGTTATCGACCATCACCTGCACTTCTTGTGTTTTTTTATTTTAACTCCGTTTTTACCAAGTGCCCAAATGGCAGTGATACTGATTCGATGTCTGCTATCGTAGATAAATATAGCAGCATATGAAAAGTGGTAAGACGGAACTAAAACAGAATACAATTTCTTCTTTTTTATTCAGATTGCTACTTAACAACACGTAATATGATTTTAATATGTAGAAAGGCTATAACATTACCAACATAAGACAAATAACATATATTTATAAGAAAATTACTAATAGGGCATTGAACTTGTTATTCCATGCTCTGTCATCATTAACATGATTTGGTAGACAAAGACACAGTAAGAGTTATCCTCCCTTCACATTGTTCAAAGTGGTTGTCTGATCCTTGCAGTTGAAGGCCAAGTGGCTGGAGTTTCTAAGATATGATATTTCTTTATAAAGATGAGACTGTCAAGGTAAGTCATTTACCCCTTTACTTTTTACTTTACTTTTTCTGTGATTTCTGTCCAAGCAATCGATCCATGATGATCAATTATAGCAACTGTGAAGGGGCGGAGACAAACTATGTAGTTTCACATACAAAGCTTATTATCAAAGTACATATTTGCAAAAACTTTCAGGATTCCATTCCTTCTTCAAAGCATCACATTTATGTCACCTGTGGTCGACGGATATGAGTGGTAATACAGTGAATATTATCATTCTTATCCCATGGCATGTAGACTCTGCTCACAAGTTTGGAATGTAATTTGCTGTCATCAACCAACAGAAAATGCAAAGATCCCATTAATTGTATATTTCAAAGGCGTGCGTAGGACGTGAGTAATATAGTAAAAAATCTCTTAAAATTAGAAATATTGACACATTGCATTCAGATACTGCTCTCTTGTTTGAAATGTTATTTACAATTATCAACAAAACTGAAATCGTAAGATTCCATTAATTGTAGATTTTAAAGGGATTATAGTGTTTCTGGTAAAGGTGATTTGATATACCTGCAGACTTTAGAGCACATCCTACATCTGCAGAGTACAAGAGGACGCACGCTATACATCCTACACATGCACACTACAGATGGTGCACTCTGTAATCCTACACATGTACACTACAAAGGGTGCACTCTGTACATCCTACACATGTAGACTACAGAGGGTGCACTCAATACATCCTACACATGCACACTACAGAGGGTGCACTATATACATCCTACACATGCACACTACAGAGGGTGCACTCAATACATCCTACACATGCACACTACAGAGGGTGCACTATATACATCCTACACATGCACACTACAGAGGGCACACTCTATACATCCTACACATGCACACTACACAGGGCACACTCTATACATCCTACACATGCACACTACAGAGGGCACACTCTATACATCCTACACATGCACACTACAGAGGGCACACTCTATACATCCTACACATGCACACTACACAGGGCACACTCTATACATCCCACTCATGCACGCTACAGAGGGCACACTCTATACATCCTACACATGCACACTACAGAGGGTGCACTATATACATCCTACACATGCACACTACAGAGGGTGCACTATATACATCCTACACATGCACGCTACAGAGGGTGCACTCAATACATCCTACACATGCACACTACAGAGGGCACACTCAATACATCCTACACATGCACACTACAGAGGGCACACTCTATACATCCTACACATGCACACTACAGAGGGTGCACTATATACATCCTACACATGTAGACTACAGAGGGCACACTCAATACATCCTACACATGTACACTACAAAGGGTGCACTCTGTACATCCTACACATGTAGACTACAGAGGGTGCACTCAATACATCCTACACATGCACACTACAGAGGGTGCACTCTATACATCCTACACATGCACACTACAGAGGGCACACTCTATACATCCTACACATGCACACTACAGAGGGCACACTCTATACATCCTACACATGCACACTACAGAGGGCACACTCTATACATCCTACACATGCACACTACAGAGGGCACACTCTATACATCCTACACATGCACACTACAGAGGGTGCACTCTATACATCCTACACATGCACACTACAGAGGGCACACTCTATACATCCTACACATGCACACTACAGAGGGCACACTCTATACATCCTACACATGCACACTACAGAGGGCACACTCTATACATCCTACACATGCACACTACAGAGGGCACACTCTATACATCCTACACATGCACACTACAGAGGGCACACTCTATACATCCTACACATGCACACTACAGAGGGTGCACTCTATACATCCTACACATGCACACTACAGAGGGCACACTCTATACATCCTACACATGCACACTACAGAGGACACACTCTATACATCCTACACATGCACACTACAGAGGGCACACTCTATACATCCTACACATGCACACTACAGAGGGCACACTCTATACATCCTACACATGCACACTACAGAGGGCACACTCTATACATCCTACACATGCACACTACAGAGGGCACACTCTATACATCCTACACATGCACACTACAGAGGGTGCACTCTATACATCCTACACATGCACACTACAGAGGGCACACTCTATACATCCTACACATGCACACTACAGAGGGCACACTCTATACATCCTACACATGCACACTACAGAGGGCACACTCTATACATCCTACACATGCACACTACAGAGGGCACACTCTATACATCCTACACATGCACACTACAGAGGGCACACTCTATACATCCTACACATGCACACTACAGAGGGTGCACTCTATACATCCTACACATGCACACTACAGAGGGCACACTCTATACATCCTACACATGCACACTACAGAGGACACACTCTATACATCCTACACATGCACACTACAGAGGGCACACTCTATACATCCTACACATGCACACTACAGAGGGCACACTCTATACATCCTACACATGCACACTACAGTGGGCACACTCTATACATCCTACACATGCACACTACACAGGGCACACTCTATACATCCCACACATGCACACTACAGAGGGCACACTCTATACATCCTACACATGCACAATACAGAGGGCACACTCTATACATCCTACACATGCACACTACAGTGGGCACGCTCTATACATCCTACACATGCACACTACAGAGGGCACACTCTATACATCCTACACATGCACACTACAGAGGGCACACTCTATACATCCTACACATGCACACTACAGAGGGCACACTCTATACATCCTACACATGCACACTACAGAGGGCACACTCTATACATCCTACACATGCACACTACACAGGGCACACTCTATACATCCTACACATGCACACTACAGAGGGCACACTCTATACATCCTACACATGCACACTACAGAGGGCACACTCTATACATCCTACACATGCACACTACACAGGGCACACTCTATACATCCCACTCATGCACGCTACAGAGGGCACACTCTATACATCCTACACATGCACACTACAGAGGGCACACTCTATACATCCCACACATGCACCCTACAGAGGGCACACTCTATACATCCTACACATGCACACTAAAGAGGGTACACTCTATACATCCTACACATGCACACTACAGAGGGCACACTTTATACATCCTACACATGCACACTACACAGGGCACACTCTATACATCCCACTCATGCACACTACAGAGGGCACGCTCTATACATCCTACACATGCACACTACAGAGGGCACACTCTATACATCCTACACATGCACACTACAGAGGGCACGCTCTATACATCCCACTCATGCACGCTACAGAGGGCACACTCTATACATCCTACACATGCACACTACAGAGGGCACACTCTATACATCCCACACATGCACCCTACAGAGGGCACACTCTATACATCCTACACATGCACACTAAAGAGGGCACACTCTATACATCCTACACATGCACACTACAGAGGGCACACTTTATACATCCTACACATGCACACTACACAGGGCACACTCTATACATCCCACTCATGCACACTACAGAGGGCACACTCTATACATCCTACACATGCACACTACAGAGGGCACACTCTATACATCCTACACATGCACACTACAGAGGGCACACTCTATACATCCTACACATGCACACTACAGAGGGCACACTCTATACATCCTACACATGCACACTACAGAGGGCACACTCTATACATCCTACACATGCACACTACAGAGGGCACACTCTATACATCCTACACATGCACACTACAGAGGGCACACTCTATACATCCTACACATGCACACTACAGAGGGCACACTCTGAACATCCTACACATGTAGACTACAGAGGACACACTCTATACATCCCACACTCTGTACATCCTACACATGCACACTACAGAGGGCACACTCTATACATCCTACACATGCACACTACAGAGGGCACGCTCTATACATCCTACACATGCACACTACAGAGGGCACACTCTATACATCCTACACATGCACACTACAGAGGGCACACTCTATACATCCTACACATGCACACTACACAGGGCACACTCTATACATCCCACACATGCACACTACAGAGGGCACACTCTATACATCCTACACATGCACACTACAGAGGGCACACTCTATACATCCTACACATGCACACTACAGCGGGTGCACTCTATACATCCTACACATGCACACTACAGAGGGCACACTCTATACATCCTACACATGCACACTACAGAGGGTGCACTCT